CCGACAGACGCGATAGGCGGGGAGCCAAATTCCACCCTAGCGGCGACCTCACGTAGACTCACCATGCGATCCATCAACTTCTCGACGTGGGCTGGCAGTTGTTCTAGGCGGCCTTCAGCAAGTAGCCACGTCCGCACCGACAGACGCGATAGGCGGGGAGCCAAATTCCACCCTAGCGGCGACCTCACGTAGACTCACCATGCGATCCATCAACTTCTCGACGTGGGCTGGCAGTTGTTCTAGGCGGCCTTCAGCAAGTAGGTCCAAGTGCCTATCCACGACGGCCTGGATCTTGGAGAGGGTAGAGGTGAAGTCCGTGGACGATGACGACGCCGACGGAGCGCCGACGGAGGGCGCGGCGGTGGACGCTACGGACGGAGCCCTAGAGGGAGTAGGGGACAGTTCAATCACCAGGTCTTGGACGCTGGGAGGGTGGGTGGAGGTGGAGGCGACGTTGGGTGGCGAAAAGCCTTTTTCTTCGACATGGCCGCCGCCAGCGGGCGGAGTGTCTCTGGCTTCAGCGACGGCAGGGGCGGAGATTTCGTCCGCTGGGACGGGCGGGTCGGCGGACAGCAGTTCCCCGTTGTGGTCGAGGTTCGACAATGCTAGTGGTGCGGCGATCGCTTCTGTGGAGGACATGGTCGGAGGAGGACAGCAGGCTAACCTGCCGCTGACGCCAATAAGGATATGGGGCTACCTCGGACCGATGGAAGGGGTTGAACCTTCTCTCAACTATAGGGACAGAGGAGACTTCCGGAGCGATCGGTGGGGACCGCTGGTGACAGACAGCGGTACAGTGTAGGTTCTCTAGGAAGAGCCAGTGGTGGTCTCTGGGAACAGAGGGAAAGGAAAAAGAGTGAGAGACGAGGGGGGAGGCGAGGTGTGCACAGCACACCGACCCTCAGCCCTGTCGACGCAGAACCAGCCTGACGTGGCGCAGTCTGCACTTGCGCGGTGACGCGCACAGCATCGTCACGACTGGTGACGCGCACAGCATCGGCACGACCGGGGTATTATCCCCCCGGGCGTGAGAGGACAAGCCAACATGCCGGGCAGTGGCCGGGCGGTTGCAGTATGTGTAGCCGGTCATGTGCATACAGTGACAAACATGCACATGCGGGCCGCACGGAAAGATCCGCAGAACCAGCGGAAAGCTGGCGCACCCACGCACCCGCCCCTTTTGGGGGGCCTCTCTTGTTACGTCGGTGGTCTGTCCTTCCGATGTACGGATGGATGTGGTAAACAAGTCTCTCACGCTGCCGAACACATGTGCAATGATCACCATACGCATTATCTAAATTCAACAGCACTCCCCCCGCTGCGGTTCCCTGCTGTGCAAAGCACCAACACGCGGTTCAACATGAGGCATGTAACGCTGGCACCATGGGTTGCACACATACCCCCTGGATCGATCATCCAAAGCTCGATTACTCAGCAGCACGAACAAGCAGTGACGGTGCCGAAAATGGCGGCGTGGGAACCGTCTCACTTGTGTTTTACTGCTGTGTAACTTGATGTAGTATTCCCTTTGTGTTGTGGCGAAGTACTCGAGCTTCGACAATCGGTCCAGCAGGCCGGGGGGTCTGGTATCTCGCAACGCCCCGTAGTTGCTCGTTTCCTTCTCAAGGCAGCGCAACCAAAACAAACCTCTTTGTCGCCAGAGGACACCTTCTCCGGCCCTCTAGACGTAGCCAGCGCTCTCAAGACCCCTCCGCATCTCCCCATCTTGGCCGCTGGCGCACCTGCCGCTGCTGCTGCTGCTACCCTAGCTCTCGCCCGACCTATGCATCGGAGGTGGTACATGATCGATCTCCGCGCTCTGTGCCTTGCCTCAGCTCTGCGTTTTTTTTATGATTGGTTGATGGCCTTATGGCGCACAGCAGTAGTAACAGCCTGTGCACAGCAGAGAGTAGAGCAAGAACGGTGGAGGCGGCTGGCTAGACCACGCTCGCTGCTGCTCTGTTGTGAACATCATGATTCGGTCGATCCCTTTGAGGGGGGGGGGCATCTACGATCCATCCCCTGTTTTCATGATAGAGGCGTTGGCGTGGAATCGTAAAAAAGCGGAGATACAAATCTGTGCAGCAGCCTCCGACGCCATCATCTGGGCCTATTCTTGTTGCACGTTTTTGCCGAGCAGAGAGATAGAGAGGGGAACAGAGCACCCCTAGGTGAGAAAGAGCAAGCCCTTGCCTGCTGTGCGTTTCGCCCCCCAGCCTTCCTGGAGGGCGGCACTTTTGCTGCGATATTTTTTGGGTTCCGAAGAGGTTTACCGGTCGAAGAGACTTCTTCTCCTCGACATCTTCCGCAGCGGGAGGGGCAGAGCTACACTAATTCTACCCCGCGCCCGTGTGTGCGCGGCAGAGCCAGATCGTGTCGAGGCGGCTTGCACACGATACGAGAGGCCTCTCACGGCAGGCAACCACCACCGGGGGAATATGCAAGTCGCTGGCTCAACCGCCGACGCTTCTGGTGCTGATGCTGTAGCAGGTGGGTACGTTGATGTTTCCGCAATAAAAGTTCAAATAACAGATGCAGCGTGTCCTTCTTGATGGATGCGTTCAACAGCAGCAGCATCGATCATCGGCGCTACTCTACTGAGATGGCTAGCAACACCTCCTTTGCCGTGCATGTGGATGAACAACAATAGCAGATCTTCTCCTGCTCAGCAGCAGCAGCGACATCTCTTCCGAAGGCGAGAGAAAACGCATGCATGCAAGATGTACCCGCAGACGACAACACAACGTTCCGCATGTCCGACGGCGGCGACGTCGACAGCAGGCGGCCGGCCCCGAGGCCTGCAGGCGGCCTGCCCAAGGCACACGGCCTGTAGGCGGCCGGCCCCAAGGTCCAAGGCCGCCTCATGGGTCCTACCCAACCCCAACCCTCCAACCCCAACTCCCCAATCCGACCCAGCCCCACACCCTTCCACAACGTCTCCGCGTGATGACGATGCCATGCAGATCCTCTCGCTTTAGTCGGCAGGAACGCCGCGCCCCAGACCCCAAACCCTTATGTTTCCGTCTCCGTATGATTGTGACAGAAATGTCAACGTTTTTTCAGAAAATATACATACACACACAGAAAGACTACAGCAGTACTAGCCGTTCGAGATAACCGTACGTTGCATACGTAATATACCACACCCCCCGGACCGACTTTCAAAGCTCGAATACTCGGCAAGAAAAGCGGCGACGGTGCCGAAAATTGCAGCGTTGGAACCGTCTCGTCAAGAGCTTTCCAGGAAAGTATCATTTGATGTCGCCATCCCCATCGTCGTGGAGAAACCGAGCTTTGAAAATCGGTCCAGGGAGTGGGTGTGGCATCCTATGCAACCTATCATACGGTAAAACCACGTATTATCGCAGTATTTCCTTCACTGCTGTAGATCCTCTGTTTTGTCAGCAGGCATGGCGCCGGCGCGCCGGCAGGTTAGGCTTAACCCTAACCCAACTTCTCCGATTTGCACGCTTTATCGAACATGCCATCCAACATGTTTACTAATTGAAATATCCTGCGAAAGCTACTTACTGGGGTGAAGAACGCCGTTAAACAGCGGCCGCCTCTTAACGGCAGAGAACACGTCGGTGGTGCCATCCGGCTCATGATTCCCACTACTGTCAGGAGATAGGTATACACACGTCTGTGGGAGAAGGAGAAAGGGTCACAGGTTGTATCTAGACGATACATACCACCTTTGGCAGGAAGCAGCAACAACGGTTTGCTACACAACGCCTGTCTCTTGGGAAAATTACATTTTTCGTAGGTTGTCAGCGAAATTCATTTGATGACTGCTACAATATATATCTACGGCTGTAAACATGCGTGCACATCCCATCTTCAGTCTTTGTAGAATAACCCAACCGTCTCACCAACCGGTACGCAACGCGTGATCGTGTCTTGGCCACCTCTCTTGCGCGCGCCGCGTGATTCCCCACCCTGGTTGCACTAGAAACCGACTATCGCAGGCCATGCCTCTCTACCTCATCGAAAACATTATTTTCTTCGCGTGGGTAGTCGTTGCTGTCAATGAAATCATCGTCACCATCACCCCGCTCGTGGGTGACACGTGTGACAATTCCGCAATCCCGTAGTACCGTAGGTGACATGAGATACTACACTCCCTATTCCGACGTGCACAGCTCGATTGCTTCACGACGAAGAAAATCATCGAAATCAAGTGATGCATATTCGGAAAGGTCTGGACAAGACTGTTCCAACGCCGCCATTTTCGACACCGCCGCTCCTTTTGCTTTGGAGTGATCGAGCTGTAAAAACAATCGGTCCTAGGGGTGAGAAATCTAACGTATGTCACCTACGGTAGATCCTGCCTCTTGTGTCGTACCGTAACGTGTGCATGTACCGCACACAGGCTCAGCCAACAATACCCTAAATCGAATCCCAACCGACGTTTGTTTCTTTGCGCGTCCAACACCCCCCCCGACCACAACGCTCGAAAACGCCAACATCGATAGGAAAGGAAAACCCCGCGATGATGATCGACCAATCAGACGCGGTGCCGCCGGTAGGAGCCGAAACCCCCACGATGATGATTGGCCAGTCAGAAACGGCGCCGACGGGAGCAGGAAGTGCGACGGAATCGGCGGGGGCGGGGACGCAGCAGCGGCTGGCGAGTGTGCGGAAGGGCCTGCGGGTGGTGGTGCTCTCCGGGTGGATACCCCCCGGGAGGATGAAGCAGCTGCAGCTCGCTTCCGTGACCATCTGCAGGTGTGTGCCAGAGTCGCCGCCACCGCTATCGCCGGGTTCAATCGCTAGCTCTCAGGCGCGTGTGCCGCGGACAGAGGGAGGTCTTGGGACGGTACTTCGATCGTTGTTGTTGTTGTCCTTGTTGTTGTTGTTGTTGTTGTTGTTGCTGTTTCTGTCTTCAGGTAAACCACCGGCCAACTCCCCGACAGAGGGTACATACATATAAAGTAGCCAAAGAGATTTAAAAAACGACCCAGAACAACCAGCGCAAACACGAAACAGTACAAAAACAAACAAGGCAACATCCACAACAATTTCGAGATTGGTCCAGTCTATGTTACACGACCGAGAGGTCTTTGTGCGTGGGAAGTCTGCGGATTCTGTTCACGGCGGTAAAACACACCACGGTGAGCGCCAAAATGACGGCCGAGATACATATCGCGCAATTATGTTGTAGCCGGTATCACCCGCCCCGCCCCGGCGCTCCCCAAGCCGTCCTCACCTGAATGAGGATGAGGATAAAAAACACGTGGTACTATATACCCCGCTTCCGGCCCGCCCAAAATAACGCAGAGATTGTTGATTGGGGACCTTGTGTGCGTGGCCACGTGTTGGAGCTATGCGCCGGAAACGCTGTGAGCGCTGGTTATTCAAGTAATGAAGAACAAAATGTCGGGATGGCGGACCCCTGGCACGTCCGTGTTTCTTAGAGAAAATTCCCCCCTGCCAGATGAAAACACGTACCCCCCCTACCCCCCCCCCCCCCCTCCCCGAAACACGCCTGCCTCCCGCCCCGGCGAAAAAAACAAAAATCGCAGAGATTGTCGGGATGGAGACCCCTGGCACGTCCGGGTTTCCGAAAACACTCCCCGGCACCTATGGTGCAGACTGGAGCAGTGCGCGGAACAATATCCGGAAGGGTATCCGGAAGGGTCTCCGGAAGGGTCTCCGGAAGGGCGGCTCGCGGAACAACATCAGCGCCCGTTCCGAGAGAACAGTCGGGATGACGACTACCAACATCCGCTGCTGCAGCTGTCTGAGGGGGGGGAGGTGAGAGTGGAAGGGATTAACGGTGGTGGTGTTGACGGTGATGGCGGCGGTGCCGATGGTGATGGCGGCGGTGCCGATGGTGACGCTGCTGTGTTGAGCGATGCCCTTGATCTCGAGCACGCCTGGCGAGGGGTTATGGTCGGAGGGAGACGGAAGCGAGGAGCTGGGTGGCACGGTAACGTCGGCGCTGATTCGAGTGGGCGCAAGGAGACAATAGAAACAACGGAGGCTGGTATGGGAAGTAGCAGAGTCAGCAGCGTCACCGATAACGTTTTCCGGGGTGGTGGAGCCAACGGCAGCAGCGGGAGCGCAGGCAGAACCACTGACATCGCTAGCAGCAACGACGAATGCGGCGGCAGCAGCAGCAGCAGCAGCAATATTAGCAGCGGCAGCAGCAGCGGTAGCAGCAGCAGTAGCAGCAATAGTAGCAGCGGCAGCAGCAGCGGCAGCAGCGGTAGCAGCAGCGGTAGCGGCGGCGGTGACGGCGGCGGCGGCAGTATCAGCGGGGGCGAGATACCCATCAACAACACCGTCCCGTCCGCAGCAGTCACCGCGGCTTCTACCGTTGGCCACGCCAAGACAACGCCAGGCAGCTTGGTAGCCACGCTGTCGTCGGCAGGCCGAGAAAGGAGGATAGAACGACCATGCGAGAACACGACCGTGCGTTGCAGCAGCAGCAGCAGCAGAGGCGGCGGGTTCTGCGGCAGAAGCAGGCGGGTGACGCTTCCCCCGCCGACTCGCGTCCGAACCGTCACCTGGGACAGGTAATCCCTCCGCGTTTCTTGAAAGGCTGACGTTTGATGTTGATAAGACCCCCCTCACTGGTTGCAATGCTGATGTTTGGTGTTTGATGTTGATGAGGCCTGTTCTAGCAGCTTGCGGGCGCCTGCCTCGCTATCTGATGTTGGTGTCGGCGTTGGTGATGGGTTTGCGTTGGTGGTGCCTAAGGTATATTCACAGCGCACAGACAGGTATGTGGACCCTTGTCGATGTTTGATGTTTGATGTTGGTGTTGGCGTCGGTGCCTGAGCCATGTCAACTCTCGCCATGCCAACGAAATCTGCGCTCAGGGAGTTTCTTTCCCTGATGAGCACAGGCCTATAGACAAAAGACCGACGGGGCCGACACGACACGCGAGCAGCGCGACCGAGCCGCGAGGGAGAGCACCCTGAGCTGGTACCGTTTTCGCAATACTTGTGGTTCTTTTGTTCGGCGGTTTTTTTCAATATGGCGGTATTTTTTCTGCGGTACGGTACTGCAAATACGGCGGTGCTTTTGGCGGTTTTCCGTTTTTCGGCCGTCATTTTTCGGCATTTTTTGCAATACGGCGGTACGTGTTCGGCGATACACGGTTTTTCGTTTCACAGTATGGAGGTAATTACCGCCAATGCCGCGACCTCCCACCAAGACGGGAAAAACACCGGGAAATTCCCGACAACAACCCTGGAAAATGCTACCTGTCTGATGTAACTGCCGGGGTCTCAACGAAGGAGGTGGTCAACATAACTGAGAAGTGGTGTGTATCCGTACCGTAGGTTGAATGCGTAAGATTCCACGGCCCGCGGACCGATTTGCAAACCTCTATTATTATTACTCTGCAGCAAGGCCGGTGACAATGATGCCGAAAGTAGAGGCGGCGTTGGAATCGTCTTGTCGAGCTTTTGCCGATCGATCTCGACGTCGTTTTCATTTTGGCATCCTATTCGTCGTGAAGATATCAAGGCTCGAAGGATCTGTCGATTTGTTTTACCCTCTTGGGGTTGTTGGAGAAATCGAGCCAGAAAGTGAGTCGCGTAAGTGTGCGATGATCACTCCAGCGGGGTGTGGTGTCTTAAGCAACGTACAGTGCCCCCCCCCCCACGGCGTGCTCCGCCCCGGCTTTGTAGGTCTGTGAGGTCAATGGTCTAACGACGACGGCATTCATGACTATGAGTACATCCCCCCTCCCGGATCCATTCTGCGTCTTCCCCTTGTAGGCCCGTCGGAGAGCTCGTGAAGGGGGTTGCGTGGCCCCGAGGCTTGACCAGGATTACGTTCGGTGACGGGTTCAGCCAATCGCTGTCGCTGGTGCGCTGGCCGCCTGGCCTCGAGGAGGTTAACTTCGGCAGGTGCTATGCATATCGTCGTTGTCGTTGTTGTCGTCGTTGTTGTTGTTGTTGTTGTGACCGTCTTTGGCAGTGTAGTAGACATCTGTTCTTACATGCCTCCTATGAAAGAGCTCAGCCCGTTCCGTGTAGTATCTATGCTCACACGTTGCGCTACATAATGCCTCCCAACAAACAAAAAATAACACCTACCACCAACAACCAAAAAATAGAAAATGCAGTCATGGCTGCGATTTAAGAGGGTGGGATATAAGAGGGTGGTGCGAAAAAAGACCCTCGGCCCTCTTGTATCGGAGCCCCCTCTCATACCGGAATGAAACTTTGCTACAGAGGGTCGAGTCCGCGACAACCGATTTCGACCCTCATGTATCTGAACCCCCTCCTTATCGGAGCCACGGCCGAACCACCCAATCAGCAAAACAAGACACACAAGCATATATTGAGGCCTATTCTGAGGGACCGGCCGTATTCAATGTACAGAATGACTTGGTGATATTGACTGTCCGAAGAAATTTCGCCAGCGGTATTCATGGCCACCGGAGCTAGTCAACCGGTGTCAATGCTTTTATAGCGTCGAACACCTCCCGACCCTTTCGTTTCGCCCCTAAACAATTCTCAGGGAATTCAACGAAGTAATCGACGGTACCACATGGCCAGCGGGTCTGAAGCGGATGACTTTTGGGTGAGAGACGGTTAATGTTTGGCCGCACTTTTTTCTTGTTTTCGGCATCCCGGTATTATTTATTTTTTTGTGGTGGGAGTGTTTGTGGTCATTTCAGGGAGAGGGGCTTTTGCCGTCATTTTAGCGAGAGGGGCGTTTTGTCGTCTGCTTAGCATAAACGGGGAATCAACTGTCGGACATGCATGTATCTTCCGTGTGTTGCTTCTTGTTGTTTATGCGTCTTCCTGCCGACCCAAGCACGGAATGGAATCAACCATTGGATCGTGTGCGTTGTTTCCCTTGCGTCTTCCTCACAAGCACCAAGTGGAACCAGCCATTGGACTACGTGGGCTGGCCCGAAGGTCTGGAGGAACTGGTCCTGGGCTCCTCGTTCGACCAGCCCGTTTCAGGTGAACCGGCACGAAAACCCCCCGCTAGACAGCACCTAGCAAAACGTAGCGCTGGTATAACTGGTACAATTTCAGTGCTTAGGCTTAAGCAAACTCACATGCGCCCAGTTTTCCGCCGGGTTCCCTCCACTCGCTGAAAATACTTCAACGCATACATCCCTTTCGACTGTCTGTGTGGGTATATCCGAACGGGAAATGTTTCTTTGACAGTATGGACATTTAAAAAAATGGCGCTTCCGATATCTCAACTCTCTTGACGAACATTTTCCTCGCCACGTCCTCTGGGGAAAACTGCGATTACATACTGCTGGCCTGTATCAATACTATCCGATTGGCCAAGGTTCACAGTGTCGACGAACGTTTTCCTCTTCACCGTCCTCTGAGACAAACTACAGCTAGCGGTCTGTATAAGATATGTGCTAACAGTAATGGTCTTGTACCTTTGCTCTATTGGATGGTGCATGTTTTTCCAGGTGTGGTTTTCCCGAAAGGGCTGAGACTTCTATCCTTCGGGATGCATTTCAACAAGAGCGTCGAGGGGATGAGCTGGCCAGATGGCCTCAGAGAGATATCTTTCGGTTACGCCTTCAACTGGCCGATCGACCAGGTATGCTCTAGTGTGTTGTGGTCGATTCTTTTGTCGTCGTTACCTGTTTCTTCGTGCTATAATAGTGACTCGAGTTTGGGGTGTTTTTTTGGCATGTTTTGCGTCTTCACGGCGCCGATCGACCAGGTTGTCGTTGTCTTCACATTAAGAACCGTACGGTTCTCTCTACCCAGTACCTCCATCTGTCCATACTTGACGCGGTCGATTCCCGTGGTCACAGGCTGACTTACACAAGAAAGGTATACTACAGTACCTCTATTTCGTGTGGTCGTTGTTCCTTTTATCGTATTTTCTTTAAATATATATTTTTCCGATTCTGTTTGTTTTTTCACTTCGACTCGCCGATCCACCAGGTATGCATACGCCGCCTCTATTTTGTCGTGGTAGTCATCGTACACTGTTTTTTTTGTGAAGCTGTTTTGCCTTTACATGACTTGGAGTTTTACTTCCTAATCCGTTTGTTTTGAGTATTGACGCCGCCGGTCGCCCAGGTGCACCGCCTGTGTGACCATTGTACCTTCTTTTTTCTTGCGTTGACGTGGAGATTCTGTTTGTGTCGAGTCTTCCCCTATCCCCACCAAACCCTATAACTACTGCCCATGGCGCCCTGAAACACAAAGGTGGTTCCTGTACGTCTATCCCTAACACACCCTATTACTATTAACAATTACCACCTAAACCCAAAGGTTGTTCCTGTACGCCTATCCCTAACAAACCCTGCAATTACCACCTAAACTCAATGGTCGTTCCTGTACGTCTATCCGTAGCAAACCCTACCATTACCCCCTGAACACAAAGGTTGTTCCCGTACGCCTATCCCTCACACACCCGTTCCTTCCCCCGTAAACACAAAGGTCGTTCCAGCACGCCTATCCCTATACCAAGCCCTAATAAAACCCAAAAGGTTGTTCCTTTGCGCCTTTTCCTCATCCCGAACAAACCCTTATAGAACACAAATGTTGCTCCATGCGCCTTTTCCTTGTCCCTAACAAACCCTTATAGAACACAAATGTTGCTCCTATGCCCCTTTTCCTTGTCCCTAACAAACCCTTATAGAACACAAATGTTGCTCCTATGCCCCTTTTTCCCTTTCCCTAACACACACAGGTCGCTTGGCCGACCGACCTGCAGCGCCTCTCTTTCGGACACAGCTTCAATCGCCCGGTGCACCAGGTCTCGTGGCCCCCTCGACTACAGCGGCTAGCCTTCGGGAACGACTTCAACAGGCCGGTGTCGCGGGTGTCTTGGCCTGGGGGCCTGGAAGAACTGGTGTTCGGGGAGATGTTCGATCAGGCGAGTTTTTTGTTTGTTTGTTTGTTCTGGCATCTTCTTTTGTGTGTTGTTGGTAGCGGTAGTTGTGGTGGCGTTGTTGTTGCTGTTTACCGACAACGTTAATGTACTTGTTGGTAATTGTGGTTCGTTTGTTGTCGTTGTTGCGGTTGTTGCTGTTGTTGATCGTCTAGCATATTATCCACTTTGGAGCGGTGGTGTTGCTGACCGCTTACCTACAACGTTCGTATACATACACGAAAACTACAAAATACATGCTTGTTGGTAATTATATTTCGTTTAGATACTGCTGTACCATCTTCACTCGATTCTCTTCGCCATCAACCATGCTATGTACGCTCGTGGCCTGTTCAGGAGGTGAAGTCGACGGAGTGGCCCGCCGGGCTGAAGAAGCTATCCTTCGGGAAAAACTTCAACCAAGCCGTAGGGGCGGCGGCGGCCGAAGCTCCTACCAGCAACGATTCCGCCGCACCCAATGGTTCCGCCGCGCCCAACGGTTCTGCCGCACCTAATGGTCCCGCCGCACCCAACGGTTCCGCCGCACTCAACGGTTCCCCCGCACCCGGGATCCTGCCAAGGGGGTTGGAAGAGCTACGCTTCGGGAGGAAATTCAACCAGGTTGGTAATTAAAACAATTTTAGCGCTGGCACTTATGAGACTCTATTTTTGGCTGAGGCTGAGGCTGAGGTTCTTGGTTCCTATGCATAGGGTTATGGTACGAATGACCGGTAGACAGGTATAAAAGTAGGGTTCATTAACGAGTTATTTAACTGTGCTCAATTTCTTCGATTTTGGGAGTCTTCGAGGCCATTGTGCTTTATTATCAAACTGCCAGTTTCTTAAGCGCGGATCCGAACTGTAGAGAAGTTCCTCATCGCTCACACAGTTTCAAGGTCGTCTTTCAAGAGGCGATACGAGGCGCTCTCGAGCTTCAGAAAATATAAATACAAACGCAGAAAGCCCTCCTGTTTGAGAAATATTCATAGTCGAAGGGTATGTGTTGAAGTCCTTATAGTGGGTGAAACGAAAATCGTCTTATGCTTGGGGCTTAGTTTGAGTCTGTTTAAGGCTGTACACTGAACTGGCACACCATTAGTTTTCGGTGTAGCTTCGTACCGTAGGCGACAACACCATGTGTATCTTCTGCTTTAATGTTATTATAGTCTACACCTATCTTTGGAATATACTTGACAATGTCAGCCAAGGTCAATCAGGAGGAAGATTCTGCATTGAAACCAAGTAACACGCGGTATTATTGTCCAGATAGGCAGGAAGGAACAGTGAAGACTTGTTAGGGGGAAGGTTCAGTCTTGCTTCTCCCCCCCCCCCCCCCAATATTTTACCACTTAAAACAAATGGGCACAGAATCCGCCGTCACTTAAGCACGAGGCTGTGAGTTGTAAATTCAGACTCATAACGTCAAAGATAATTGTGCGAAGGAGACTGTACAAGACAAGGCGTACATCTGCTGTTGAGAATCCCGCGGTAACCTACTGGTTTGGTAGGTTGCAGATATCTAGTCTCACACGAGGTTCTTTCGCAAATGGTGCTCGATGGCGATGCTGCAATAATTGGGCCGTCTTTGGCGAGAAATTAAGTTTTTATTGAGGGAAAATTACAGGGACGGGGAACGCAGACCCTATTCCCTAACCCTATCCCTAATCCTAACCCTAACCCTAACCCTAATCCTAACCCTAACCCAACTTCACCATGATTTATCCAACATTTTGCCTTAGAGAAAAACCCTGCGAAGCCTACCGATATTTTATTCCCCGCTCCCTTGCGTCCCCGCCTTCTGCCTTTCCTTGTCATTGACTGTTCTTGCTGCCTGCCCACGCCGTCTGCTTGTTTTCGTTTTCATTTTGCACGATGAACGGAAAAAAAAAAAAAAGCCTGTCAACAACGTAGTGTGGCCACAGTCTCTGCAGAGCCTCGTTTTCGGGTCGGACTTCAACCAGCCGGTGGACCAAGTTAAATGGCCGCAGGTAGGTGCCCGACGTGTTTTTTGTGCTGCTGCTGCTGCTGCCGCTGATGATGATGATGATGATGATGATCCTTTGGGTGTTGCTGTTGTTGTTGTCGTTGTTGTTCTGCTCCCGACATACATTTTGTGCTGCTGCTGGCGCTAATGGCTTGGGTGTTGCTGACATTGGTGTTGGTGTTGGTGTTGGTGTTGGTGTTGGTGTTGGTGTTGCTGCTGGCGGTGTTGTTGTTGTTGTTGTTGTTGTTGTTGTTGTTGTTGGTGATGTTGTTGGTGTTGTTGTCGTTGTTATTGTTGCGTTTGCTGTTGTTGTGGGTGTTGTTGAGCTGCTTTCAGCGTCGGTGGTGTTAGTGCTGCTGCTGCAAGATTGTGTTCCCGCTGCCGCGGCTGAACTTTACGCACCGCCATCGCCATGACCCATACCCGACCCTCAACGTCACAAGCTACCGCAGGACGATTCACCCCTTCCTAAGGTCGCCCCGGTGGTCTAGTTGGTAGCCTCGTAACCTTCTAGAGGTCAGGTCAGGGGTTCGAATCCCGGCGTAGGCGAGCTTTTCTTGCAAAGTGAGTTTTTCTCTCGCTTCCGCTCCTGGCCAAGTGGATAGCGCTAGTTCGTGTGTACACAGAGGGAAGAGAGTGCTGAACTCTTCTCGCATTAAAAATTGAAGGCGAAGTACCGCAGGAGGGGAGGGTAGAGATAGGCTCTTCTGTGTGACCACGGGTTGGAATAAACGGCACTAGTGCTGTGAGCGCTGATTTGAAGTGAAGAACAAAAAAAAAAAAAAAAAAAAAAAAAGGCGGTCCGGGAAAACAGACTTGAATTTTCGTTGCCGTTTCACCTGCCGCGCCGCTTACCCTACAGGGGCTGAAGCAGCTTCGCCTCGGTGAGGAGTTCAACCAACCCGTGGAGGCGGTGGCATGGCCTCCGGGTATGGAGAGCCTTGTCTTCGTCTTCTACTTCAACCAGGTGTTATGGTCTACACAGAGAGATGTCGCGGGAAGATGTGACCCTGTCGATATATTTCAAGTTTTTTCCACCTCAGATATACAAGCTGAACGATCTCTAGACACGCGCCAGGACGAACACACACACATACACTCGGTCACAGGGTCCCAGATTGTGCCCTTTAGAAGCATTTTGGGTTTTCAACAGCACTGAGACTCGCGTCTTCTCATCGGTCAGTCTAACCCTAACCCTAACCCTAACCCTAACCCTAACCCTAAGTCAGTCGGTTAGCGCGGTCGATGCTAACAAGAAAGACACACACACATGCATCCCAATCTAGCAAGCTGGGGTGCCTTTGACGACCACAGCAGTATCTCGCGACCATGCCGCATCAAGCACCCACTCGGTTGTACATGGTTTTTGGTCCGCGTTTCTTAGGGTTAGGGTTATCTGTTGTAGGCTGAGAAATCTTGACGGCCACAGGAAATTCGTTACCGTGCCGCAGAGACTGCAGGCGTAGTGCGTGCATGTACCCGCTCGGTTGCACGTTGTGATTGGTCCACTGCTCATAGCGTTAAGATAACCCGTCGATGAAGTCCCGCACACGTGTGACCCTGCTGTAAGCTGAGATGCCTTTGACGGCCACAATAGGTTCCAACGCCGCCGCCGCCTAATGTTCTTTCTGTAGAGTATTCGAGCATTGAAAACTCAGTCCAGGGGGTGTGATGTCTTCTCCAGCGTTGGGTGACAATGCGGCGGGTTCTGATTCCCATTCGTTGGGCCGATCACGCTCCTCCAAAACCCACTCTGCTTGCTCACAACTGAGCCCTCAATCGAGTTCTTGGTTCCCGTTTGGCTCCAATCACCAAGACTGTCAACTTGTCACCCCCCCCCCCGGTCCACGTTCTTCATGCGGTACCCCGTTCTACCGTAATTGTCGGAGAGCTGGCGCCCCCCCCCCGTGTTACCGTCTTTTTGTAGCGTGTTTCTCCCCAACCAGCGGGGTACACACCAGTACCGAAAGGAGTAGTCTTGGAAACATCTCGTCGAGTGCTTTCCTGAGACGTAGCGTTTGGCGTTCGCACCTTCCTAGTCGTGGAGAAACACGCAATGAAAGTAGGCTAACACGGGGGGTACTATCTCTCCGACTCTTCCGGTGTGTCGTCGCGTTTTGTTTCTTCCGGTACTCCGTGAAAAGAGTGATCCAAGGCCTCGCTCGAGGGTACCCCCCCCTCGTTGTCCACGCCGTAACCCCCCTTTCTATGTTTTCGCGTTTTCTCTTGTTTTTGCTTCATGCCGTAGTCCATGGACAGAGTGATCCAAGGCCTCGCTCGAGGGTACCCCCCCCGTTCTCCACGCCGTAACCCCCTTTCTATGCTTTCGCGTTCTCTCTTGTTTTTGCTTCATCCTGTAGTCCGTGGACAGAGTGGTGTGGCCGGCAAGGCTGCGACACTTGTCTCTGGGTTTCCACTTCAACATGCCGGTGGCCGGGGTACGGTGGCCGGACGGGCTCCGAACCCTGGCCTTTGGCGACCGCTTCAACCAGGTAAAAAAAAAAAAAAAAAAAGTGGGTGGGGGGGACGTCAACAACGCAGGTTGATTGGCGCCGGTGGCCCGGAAGAGCGCCGGTGGAATTGTGGAATTGCTGGGCACAGACTGAATCACCCAAGCCACTAAAGTGGGGGTCCCTGTTTAGTGCCGGTATGTGCCCAGAAAATTCCACGGCGCTACTGTATGCCGAACCGGCACTATTCACAGTACAAATGACTTGGAAATTCAGTGTGTGCCCGCCGAAATCACCGAACCGGCACTTTACCGGGCATGGGCACTATTCAACCGGCACTAAACAGGGACCCTCACTGTAATGTACAATGAATTGCGCCGGTCGATGCGCCGGGCACATACCGGCGCCGTTGTTGAGGGCCCCCCACTGTTTAGCTAGCACCCACAGAACCTCCAAATAGGTAGTTTCGGCCGAGGCCGGGGTTGTTTCCGATTTTCGAGGCCGGTGTTGTTATTATACTGTATTCCTAGGGTCATGCTAGGAATGGTCGCTATATTGGTTTGAACGAAATCAAATGGCAATTTTTCTGAAAGCTCGCTCTCGACGAGACAGAGTTCCAACGCAGAAAACCGTAGGTTTGCGTAACATACCACAACCCGTTGGACCGATTTCAAACCTCTACACACAGCGCCCGTTCGTAGTTTCGGCCAAGGGTTGGGTTGTTACCGTATTCCTAGGGTCATGCTACGAAAGGTCGCTATATAGGTTTTAGTGTAGAGTTTCTTATCCGGGCTCACAAATTGGTGCTCAAGTGTTCTTAGGCATTGGGTTTTTCGAGGCAACATCAATTTCTCAACTGCTAAGTTCTTAAGTGAGAGTAACAGTCATGGGGTGTTACGGGAAAGTACGGGTTTCAGAGAGCAAATGCGGTGTTTTTCCGTCCATTCAAAATTACATGCACGTAACCAAGAACTCTCGGATATTCTCCTTTTTTTTTTTTTTCTTGAAAAACCACAAGGTAATCTCTTCAGCAGACAAGAGCCCGGGGGGTTTTCCATGCGGAGGCGCACACACAATGTCATATTTATACCCTGTTGAGTTTTTTTATCTGATACCGCAATTGATGGAGCCGGCCGGTTTTTCACCGGTACGCGTACCGTTTTCGTTCTTCGCATACCGCAAATGATCGAGCTAGGCGGTTCTTTATCGTTGCGCGTACCGTTTTTGTTCTTCGGATAACCGCAATTGATCGGGCTTGACGGTTCTTCACCGTTGCGCGTACCGTATTGTACGAGCGATGCTGTGGTACGGGGTCACCTCGTGTTACGCCTTCGGGTGGGGTGACACACTCTTCTTCAACCTGTTGGCCGCGACGTATCGATGTAGGATAACCAAAACAGGACTGGTACCCGATTCTCCCAAAACCGGAAGATGTCACCGCCCCTACCGTATACGACACAAGATAACACCCCCTGGACAGGTTTTCAAAGCTCGATTTCTCAACAGCAGAGAGAACGGTGGTGTCGAGAACGGCGGCGTTGAAGCCGTCTCGTCGAGAGCTTCCCGAAACTGCATCGTTCCGTCAGTGAATGTTGTTCGTCGTGGCATAATCGAGCTTTGAAAATCGGTCCAGGGGGTGTGTTATCTTGTGTCGTCTACGGTACAGAGGAAGTGGGGGTGCCGAAAATGGCGCCGTTGAACCCGTCTGGTCGAGAGCTCTCCGAAAACGTTTCGGTTCGTTCATTCATCGTCTTGGCATTGGAATGAAGCTTTGCAAATCGTTCCGGGGGGGGTTGGTATCTTACGCAATCTACGGTAAGATGTCAACCCCAAAAGTGCACGCCCCCTATTGTACCATCGCTCGTACCGCAAAACAATTTAGCTTTTTCTTGACGTCGACGAAACGTCCCGCAGGCGATAGACGAAGTGGCGTGGCCGGACGGGTTGGAGAGAATGTCGTTCGGCTGCGCGTTCAACCAACCGGTGCGCGTGGCAGCCTGGCCGAGGGCGCTCAAGGAGCTTGTGTTCGGCCGCAGCTTCAACAAGGTGGGGGTATGGGCCAGCTGACGCGGTTATGCTCAGCCGCCGAAGGAAGTACCGCAGGTTACATACGAAAGATAACACCCTCCCACCCGGGATAATCGCACCACGTTGTGTTAAAATGGTCAGGCAACTCTCGAGGCAGTTAAACAGTGCTTGTAACCGTCTCTGGAAGTGAAACACCAGAACATAAATCAAGTCATACGCAGTTGTCATCCGTACGCAAGGAAGTAAGCTCGATTACTCCACGACGAAGAGGGTGCATAAACGAAACGATACATTTTCGGAAAGCTGTCGACGAGACGACTTCAACGCCGCCGTTTTCGACGCCGCAACTCTTTCTGCTGTTGAGAAATCGAGCTTTGAAAATCGGTCCAGGGCGTGCGGTATCTTGCGTTGATATACCGTAGGTTGCATACGAAAGATAACACCACCCCCCCGCGGACTGATTTTCAAAGCTCTGGTACGCGGCAGGAAGAACATCAGTGCCGGTGCCGAAAACGGTGGCGTTGGAACCATGTTGTCGAGATTTTTTTTTCCGAAACGCTCGAATTGATTTTGATTATATCCCTTTCGTGGCGTTGGAACCATGTTGTCGGGAGTTTTTTTTTTCCGAAACGCTTGAATTAATTTTGAGGATATCCCTTTCGTGGTCGTGGAGACACAGCAGAGGTCCCTGTTTAGTGCCGGTTGAATAGTGCTAATGCCCGATATAGTGCCGGTTCGGTGTTTTCGGCGGGCACACACTGAATTTTCAAGTCATTCTCATTACTTCGAATAGTACCGGGCCGGAATAGTGGCGGTGAATTACTGGCCACATACCGGCACTATTTCGGTCCAGAGGGTGTGGTGTCTTTCGAAACCTACGGTGCTCGCGCCTTTGCCTCTACCAGCGTCGGCACGACCGAGTCAAGGGTTCACGCAGCCGCTTACACAGTCTATCCTCCCTCGTGATCCCCCGTCACGGGGTCCCACATCATGGCCTCTAGAAGCGTTTCCCGTTTTCAACCGCACTGATTCTGGCGTCCTTTCGTTGTCGTACGCACGCACGCCTCCCTCATATTCCGCCCTCACGGAGTCCCACATCATGACCCATTGCAGCTTTTCCCGTTTTCAACCGCACTGCTCCTGGCATCCATTCGTTGGTCAGCCTGTTTCCGTAGGTTGAATAAGATATCTCACACGCCCTGGACCGATTTTCAAAGCTCGAATAAACCGTAGCAAAAGCAGTAATGGTGCCGAACATGACGGCCTTGGAACCGCCTAGTCGAGAGCTTTCTGAGAACGCATCTTTTGATTTCGGCATCCTCTTTTTGTCGTGGAGTAATCAGGCCGTGGAAGTCGGTCCAGGGAGTGTCATATCATATGCATGTCACCTACGGTAGCGCGGTCGATGCAAACAATAGAGACACACACAAACCTCCACGCCGCCGCCAACAGGGTAACGATTAAGTTCCTTAGGGTTAGGGCACTGGTGTGTTCTTGCCCGCATACCCGATGGCACTCTCAATACAGTATAAATCGTGGTTCCCATGTACAACACCAGATCGGCCACGAAACGGCGTCGTTTTATTTTCGGATGCGCGCAACAGATTCCTGTGCCAACACCGCCCAACACTACCTACCGTCATCAAACACCACCACCAGCCGAAACATCAGAAAGTATCTGTCATCTCCGAGATCTACGAGAAAGTGCCCCTACTCTCCGCCCCCCGTCAAGTCAAACGTTCGTTCGTTTCATCAGAGCATCGACTGCGCATGCCCATTCGAAATATCTGCCATCTCTTCGAGGTCTACGAAAATATGCTCTACTCTCCACCCCCCCGGCAAGTCAAAAGCTCGTTTCATCAGAGCATCGACTGCGCATGCCCATTCGAAATATCTGTCATCTCTTCGAGATCTACGAAAATATGCTCTACTCTCCACCCCCCGGCAAGTCAAAAGAAGCTCGTTTCATCAGATCATGGACTGCGCGCGCCCACTCTCTTCCCACCCGACCGCCGTGTGAACCAAACAAACACTGATGGCGTTACAGGCTCTCCAAGGAGTTGAATGGCCGTCGGGGCTTCGAAAGCTGTCGTTCGGCGCGGACTTCGACCAGGTACAGTAGGCCGCGTTTTCTTTTCTTTTTTTCCTAATGTGACACAGCGAATCCATCTCTATCCGTAGAGGAGAGTCTACGATAGAGTAGAAATGAATACATACCGTCAGCGAAGGCTCTGTATTTCCACGATTTCCTCTAGGTTTGGCCGGGGCTTTTTTTTTTTTTCGCAACATGACACAACCAATCCATCTCTTTCCAAATAGAGTCTGTACGATAGATTAGCAATGAATAAATTCATTTGCATACTTGTAGCGTTGGCGGAACCTGCCTGTATTTCAACGGTGTCCCGAGGGCAAGTTTTCTTGTTGATACCGCTTGTTCCGGAAAGGTGGAAGGGTCGACGTCGAGAAAAAAATGGGCGACGGAAAAAAATGTAGAAGATGTTGGCTTACCCCGAAAAACAACACTGTGGAACGAGCTTTGGCCAAAACAACAAGGTTCTTAAGGGCGGTGGCGCGGTCTGAAATGCTGTTTTTGATTTTCAGGAGGTGGAGGCGGTGCGGTGGCCAAGGATGCTGGAGGAAGTGGCCTTCGGGAACGCCTTCGACCGAGAAATCGAGAGGACGGTGTTCCCCATGGGTCTCAGGAAGATGGTTTTCGGAATCCGGTTTAACCGTCCCGTGGAACGGGTCGTGTGGCCCGCAGGGCTCGAAGAGGTACGTCATTGGCCACCAGAAGAAGGTGCAAAACGCCTCTTTCTCATGTAGCCACAGAGGTAAAAAATGGGGATGGTTTTCGAAACCCGCTTTAAATCGTGACGTGGAACGGGTCGTGTGACCGGTTGGGCTCGAAGAGGTAAGGCCTTGGGCACACCAGAAGGTACAAAACGCCTCTTCTAGCACGTCAATAAGCATCAATAGTGGTACATCACCTTGTGGTGGTGGGCCTCCATTAGGGCTGGTTGGGTCGTGCAAGGTGTCCGCAATAGTGCCGTTGAAATCGTAACACGCACGTTGCTAGCATTGCGGGTCTGCCGAGGGCCCCCGCTGCGGTATCCAGACGAACGCTGCTTCTTGCAGAAAATAATCTATTGTGCTAGTTACATGTTAGTTTTAGTGTAGAATTATTGTACCTTTTTATCGTAAGTTAGCCTGCAACCACGGGAATCGACCGCGTCAAGTATTAGACTAGTACGCGCAGAAGAAGGGAGTACTGGGTAGAGAGAACCGCCCGGGTTTTAGTGTGAAGACAACCACAACAGCAACAACTACAATACGGAGGGTTTTTGCGACGGTCGCTTGTCTGCTACTTATAGCGTGACCAAACGTGTGTGTTAATTTCTAGTTTCCACCGATATCAGATCTTCTGGGTTAATCAAATGCACAGCAGGATGAAGCCTTTGGAGGAAAAAGGACGGTATGCCTCCGCTAGCCACCTCCGGGTGATCATAGCTTGGAAGACCTTCCACGAGACAAATCCAACCAGTTGTGTCAGATCTTGGCGAGTCACCACGATTATCATACCGCATGCACCGTCTCGGAAAACAACCAGCAGTCTGACCTTCGGAAACTCGTTCGGCAAGCCTGCACCGTGTTACATCTCAAGACAGATACCCCTCTTGACAAAACAATCCCACGATTTTTTACCGCACGCACCGTGTCGAGAAAGTCCCGAGGCTGACCTTCGGAAATTCTTTCAACAAGTCCGCACCGTGTTAGAGATCTCAGCACACCTCTTGACAAACAACCCCGCGATCTTACTACAGCGCGTACCCCCGCGAAAAACTCGCCGCAGCGAACATTCGGAAACCCAACAAGCCCGCGCCGTGTTAGATCTCAGCATGGATGCCCCTCTTGACAAGCAACCCTGCGATTTCAATACCCCACGCACCATCACACCCGCAGCTGATCTTCGGGAAGTCCTTCGACCAGCCGGTCGAGCTGGCAAGCTGGCCCCCTTGCCTGCGAAGCCTCCGCTTCGGCCGCAACTTCGACCAGGCCCTGGAAGGCGTTTCGTGGCCGGGGTCGCTCCGCGTTGTCTCCCTGGGGTGGGAGTTCAAGCAGCCCCTGGGAGGCGTGAAGTGGCCGGACACGCTCGAGGAACTGTCTCTGGTGTGCCGGGTGCTCCCGCTTCTCCGGAGAACCCCCTTGTCCCCGAGGTACGGCAGAGTTAGCATGTTTGGCGGAGACTGGGCTTCGCTACAAATGATCACTTTTGTTACGGGTTTCCTGTGGAGGCTGGGTTACGCTACAATTGATCCCCGTTTCGGGTTTACTTTGGTGCCCTTTACTGCATTACGTATTGAGCTTGCTTGAAGGCATTACGTTCGCGTCAGGTGGACCAGTACGGATACTAAAAGGTACTGAGCGGAGACCGGAACCGTTTTTATGTCAAGACAAGCACAACAACAAATATATTGTTGACAATTTATGGAATCGGCGGAAGCGTGAAGTGACCAGAAAGCTCTTTGTATTTGTGTTTGCTTTCGCAACTGCCAACCAATGCCTTTGACCTGGTGGCGCAAAACCACTCTGTACTGCATCGAGCGCCGCACCCCCAACCTCTCCGCTCATGAACCTCACGCACGCGGGAATCGACCGAGTCAAGTGTTTGACTAGTACGGACAGAAGAAGGTACTGGGTAGAGAGAACGTAACGGTTTTTAACGTGAAGACAACAACAACAACAACAACAACAACAACAACAACAACAACACAGGCTGATCAAGCTTCACTTCCAGGGAGGCTTTCCGACGGGTTTCCTAGACAACGCGGCGTTTCCCGCTTCTCTGAAGGAGCTGAGCCTCGGTGACGGTTTCAACGAGGGGCTTCAGGGGGTGCGCTGGCCGGTGGGGCTTGAGAAGGTGACAATCGATTGGGTGGCAACGTTTTGGTGTTGTTGGTTGATGGTATTATAGCTGTGTGTTGTTGTTATTGTTGCTGTTGTTGCGGTGGTCCTGTTTGTTGTTGCTGTTGTTTGTGGTGGTGGTGGTGTTGTTGCGTGTGCCACTGTTGCTGTTGTTGTTGTTGTTGTTGTTGTTGGGTCTGTTTGTTGTTGCGGTTGTTGGTGGTTTTGGTGTTGGTGTCGGAGTTGATGTTGGTGTTGCAGTGTTGTTGTTGCTGCTGTTGCTGCTGCTGCTGCTGCTGCTGCTGCTGCTGCTGTTTTTGCTGTTGTCGTTGTTGTCTCCACAACGAAACCGATATGGCACCTGCCCTAAGTCCCATTTTTCTTCTTCTCCCGCGTGTACGCCTACCGTCTCGGCAGCTCAAGCTCGGACGCAGCTACAGGCAGCGAGTGGACACCGTTGTGTGGCCTCAGGGCATCGAACAGCTTGTCTTCGGACAGTTCTTCTTCAGCAACCACGTCCCCCTGCAGAGCGTCGCGTGGCCCCGGGGGTGCGAGGTCCGAGCCGCGGGCTCCACAATGAGCCGCTCGCGAACCGGAATGCTATAAGGGGTTGGAACAGCAGAGTTGATGACTGGTTGAGAGTCATTCCATACTCAGGTGTCTGGGATGCTTAAAAAGAAAGCAGTTCGTTGCTGATTGAGAGCCGATCGTAAACGATTGACTACCGTTTGTGAACCGGCGTGCTGTAGCGGTTGAGACAGCAGAGCTGACGGCTGGTCGGGAGTCATTCGTATTCAGGCACTGAGTGTGTTTTGAGAAAAACCGGTTCGTTGCTGATTTGCGTTCGAAAACGATTGACTACCGTTCGTGAACCGGCATGCTGTAGCGGTTGAGACACCAGAGTTGATGGCTGGTTGGGAGTCATTCGTAATCAGGCACTGGGTGTGTTGTTGAGAAAAATCAGTTCATTGCTGATGGAGATCTGTTCGTAAACGATTGGTGGTTTGTGAACCGGCATGCTGTAGGGGTTGAGACAGCAGATTTGACGGCTGGTTGGGAGTCATTCGTAATCAGGCACTGGGTGTGTTGTTGAGAAAAATCAGTTCATTGCTGATGGAGATCTGTTCGTAAACGATTGGTGGTTTGTGAACCGGCATGCTGTAGGGGTTGAGACAGCAGATTTGACGGCTGGTTGGGAGTCATTCGTAATCAGGCACTGGGTGTGTTGTTGAGAAAAACCGGTTCGTTGCTGATGGAGAGCCGATCGTAAACGACTGACTACCGTTCGTGAACCGGCATGCTGTAGGGGTTGAGACAGCAGAGTTGACGGCGTGTTGGGAGTCATTCGTTTTGAGGCACTGGGCGTGTTTTGAGAGAACGCAGTTCGTTTCTGATTTGCATTCGAAAACGATTGACTACCGTTCGTGAACCGGCACGCTGTCCGGCATGCTGTAGCTGTTGAGACAGCAGAGTTGACGGCTGGTTGGGAGTCATTCGTAATCAGGCGCTTAGTGTGTTTGAAGAGGAGCAGTCCCTTCCTGATTTGAGAGTCGTTCGAAAACGATTGACTACCGTTCGTGAACAGGCATTGAGTGTCTTTGAGGCGTTGAGGCAGCTGCTGATGGCTGATTAAGAGGCGTCCGTGAACAGGCGTTTGGCCCCTTTTTGGAGTTTGAAACATCAGCCAATGTCACTTGTCTTAGAGGCTTGACATTTGATTTCCGTTCGTGAACACCTGGGTAGTGTCGTTGAGGGGATGAGACAGCTGTTGATGGCTGATTCAGAGCCGTCCGTGAACAGACGCTGGCCAACTTGTGGAGCTTGAAGCATTAGCCGATGGCAACTTGATCAGACGGACGATGTCATCTGGGGCTGGGACGGTCGATTGACTGCCCCTTCGTGAACACTTGCGTAGGGTAGAGATAGACGTTGATTATCGATTGAGAGCCGTCCGTGAATGTATGGTGTCTTTCAGAGTTGGAAACATCAGTCGATGACTGTCTGATGAGATGGTCGATGTCCTTAAACCGATGGAGACGGTCGATTGACTGCCCCTTCGTGAACACCTGCGTAGTGTCAGTTGATTACTGACTGAGAGCCGTCCGTGAATAAATGTATGGTGTCTTTCAGAGTTGGAAACATCAGTCGATGGCTGTCTGATGAGATGGTCGATGTCCTTAATACCGATGGAGACGGTCGATGGTTGGTTGGTGAGACGGTTTACGACTGAGCGGACGGTTCTTGGTTCATAGACTACCGCTCGTGAACAACTGGAGGTGTCTTGTATGAAGCGTTGAGACGACCGATTACTGAATGAGCAGCGTTCTTCAGCATTCGCTTGGCGTCCACGTAGGGGTGGACATGGCGGCTGAATATGAATCGCTCATGAACAACGTTTTGGTATCGTTGAGGGGTCGAGGCAGCAGTCGAGGGCCGACGGAGAACAGCTCGTGATCAATAACTGAGTAGCGTCTTTGACGGGTTTGAGGCAACAATCGATGACTGATTGAGGAGACTTCGCCAAGAAGAGATAGTGTTCAGGGTATTCGTTTGTGGGAGTTGATACAACAGCAGTCGATTATGGTCAAGCAAGCAAAACAGCCCAACACCGCCGTTTCCCTTTGAGAGAGAATCTCCGTGTTGTCTGTCCATGGCATCACGTTAATTTGTCTTTGAATCAGCTCGGTCCAACTTGGTGTTAACACAGCCTGTCTGTCTCAGGAAGGGTTGGGTTACCTGATTTTGTCGATTTTCAATTCCTTTTTTTTGTTTTTTTGTGAAGACAACAACAACAATACACGGTCTTATACAGTGGACAATATTGTTGTACCCCGGACACATCGGCCATGTGCAACAAGCGATTTGTTTTAAGAGGAAGGAAAAATGTGCAAACATAACAGAGTCGAGGATACGGAGCCTTTCACACCTCTACCTGGAGTTCTACATAGACAACAGAGACACGCGCTTGGCCAGCGAAAAGGGTTTTGGAACGTGTAACGTCCCGACCAACGGCGAACAGATCACCTCCCGTATGCATGCGTGAAATCGGTGTACCTCTCTTTCTATTGGAGGCGTTGGGTGCGCGATGCCAGGTGCAATCCCTCCAACAGGGAACCTGGCGCTAGAACTACCGCCAAAGTAAATGTTTCGATAACTCCGTCATGCAGACAGATTGTGCTGTCTCCTAGCCAAGGAAGTCTGGATTGGCCTGGACGAGGCTTACAAACCCGCCGGGAAGAAAAAACGGGCGAATCGTTTTATGAAGCCAACACATGTTCCCTGTGCCGATACGTCTTGTCGGCAACGCACCTCGTATGTACGTCATGCACGGTACCCAGGTGGGGTGAAGCTGACACTATTGCGGACGGACCAGTCTATAAATAATTCAGTCATGGAAGACTACGGGTCATGCAATGACTGCTTGGCCGCCAAGGCCACGGGGGCCGCCAACCGCACAGGAAGCACCCTGTCCACCACCATGACGCTTGATTGAAGGCAGGGCTCAAAAGGAGTGCAAGTCGAACGACACAAATTAACTGTGTTTTGTCCCTGACTCGCGAAGAGTTCAACAGAGAGAGAAAGACACTTGCATTGTTCAAGTCCTTGAACGACACATACTGTGTGCGTTCCTCACTGAAAGAATTCAAGAGAAGGGGAAACAAATGGAACACTCACAACAATTTTTTTTCACCGTCCAAGCCTTCCATTCCACACCACCTACTCAATCTTGGCCTGTAACATGAGACGAAGTCTGCGCCAGACGCCCATGATCATCGGTCTATTCATGGGTGGCAGAAAATAGCACAAGAAGCACGCAAGAAGAACCCACACCTACACAAAGAAACCCAGAAAGACATTACCACGTCCACCACCCACTTACTATGCCGTTGAAAAGCTTCCTGCCCGTTGTCTACAGCAACTTTCCGCCTACCGACAGTACAATTTCGGCGTACCTACAGCACAGAATTTTCTGCGGTACAGTAGCACGCTAGTAGCTCAACACGCGTGCAAGGCAAACTACTACTGAGCAATCTCTGTCATCTACTTCTTGGGTCGCTCCTCCATGTACGCCACGATCCTCGGCTCGGCCATGACCCTCTGCACGAGCGAGGACACGAGGGGGGACTCGTCCAAGAGGGTCGAGGGGACGCCCTCGAAGGTACCGTCCGTGAGCCAGTTCAGCCGTGCGACAACCGCGATGTCGCCGATGGAGAGCTGTTACAAGGAAGAAAGAAGCAATGTCGTCAAGACCACGGAACGCACGTAAGAAATGAATCGGTCACAAAGGCCGCAGCGCAACCGGGCTACCGCCTCCGGGCAACGGGGCCCGAGAGGGAAGAAAAAAAATTGCTTCCAGGGTGGGAAGGAGTTCGGCGAGTAGATAGAGTGAAAATGGCACGTACGTACGTTCTCGTCGGCTACCATAATATTTTATGATGATGAGCAAGTATCTATGTAGCTCTTGTGCCACACCACACCAGTATCGGACACGAGATGCTTCCTTATGTACCCATCGATTGAGCTGATGCGGGCAACGTGATGTACGAGCGAAAGAGCGAGTGAGGGGTGGTACGCGCGGCGAAAAAAACAGTCAAGTTACAACACTGGAAGAGTGTGCTATGTACAATGTTCGTCCTCTTCTTACCTTGTCCCCGGCGAAGTACTCGCCGCCAGCCAGCTTCAACGCCTTCTCCAAATTGGCCAGCCACCTGCGAAAAACGTTGAACGCAAATGTGGGTGGAGGGTTGACGAGGAAGGGACGGGTGTGTTTGTGTTTTTTTTATTATTAGCATCGACCGCGCTAACTGGCTGACCAATGAAAAGACGTCAGTCTTAGTGCGGTTGAAAACACAAAACACTTCTATCGGTCATGAACTGGGACCCCGTGAGGGTGTGAAGTATGAGTGTGAGAACAACGTTGCCTCGTGTCAAGCTGTGCATCAAGCGCATGGTCACCCCCGCTGGTACCAATACCACCGTCTTCATGCTCTACATGTGTGAACACCTCGTTTTTTTTATGCACGCTGGTGGGGCAAGTATTCGCGACTTCCCATCTCGCCACGGCTTCAATGTCTCGCTATCTCATATGGTATGCATGTAGCCGAACACGTTTGTTGAGCATCCAGATCGCAAATAAATGCAGACAGATTCCCCCAGTACGAGTATGATTACACCAGATGAAGGCGGGGGGGGTCACAAAAGGCCAACGTTGAGGCGGCACTCACGTTGGGAGAAGGGTCTCGACCAGGTCTTTGCGCAGTTGCGCCTGCGATCAGGGTAGGAGACGTGGCGCGAGCAAAGACAAAGGAGGGGAGAGAGAGAGAGAGAGAGAGAGAGAGAGAGAGAGAGAGAGAGAGAGAGAGAGAGAGAGAGAGAGAGAGAGAGAGAGAGAGAGACCGGAAAGTATTGTTAGATACGTCATGGCATCAAACCTCGCTGAGGAACAACATGGATCATGGATGGCTGAACGGGTCGCGACCGAAGGTTAGTTTCGGCCACATGGGAAATCGAATGCGTACTGCTTCCACGGCGTTCAAGCCTGTGCCAAACGGATCAAGTCACGTGTCCACTGAAAACGCACGGTGGTATTATAGCAACCGCATTGTCACCGATGACAAGGATAGCACTACATATACCTCGTAGCGTGTGGGGCAGCAGATACTCCATCAGGACAGCAACAGCGCGCGCCAACGGAATACATACATGAACGAACAACTTTGGAATCTACAAGTTTCGGAATCTACATACTTCGCAATCCATTCCCTCGAGTGACACGATTTGCTGGTGCCTCGTCAATTAATGAACTTGGCTTCGAGGGTCGTGTAGAGGCAAGGCAGGTCGAGGGTTGGGGTGGGGGCTTGTTGTTCATAACCGGAGCAGATCATGCGGACGGGTAGTAAGTAGACTAACGCTTGCGAGCGACGGCAACTTGGGGGGGGCGGGGGGGGGGTGCATGGAAACATGTTCCACTATACTGCCTGCCGTACCTTCTTGTCCGCGTCCTTCTCGAAAATGATGCCTCTCATGTAGCCCTGGATGTCGCTGACAGCGTCAGTTGCACTGTCGGCGAAAGCGGCTTGGATGGGGTCGGTGGGGTACAAGTTCCCGATCTTCCCGACGTAGCGAAGAATTGCCAAACTTTGAGGGATGACCGCCCCATCTACCTCCAACACGGGCATCTGTTGGTACGGCAGAGCTGAGCACGGTGGAAAAAATAGCACGCGGCAGGCGAGACACGCGCAGTTTTAGTTGTGCGAAAGTCACTTCATATGTGAGAAACAGCATATATATGGCCATTAGACTCACTGTTCTCAGCGTTGTACGTTTGGCAAGAAGGATAATCGGACAACTTTTTTTTGTGAAAACCGCGAAATCATCCAGTCTGGAAAAAACATGCGTACTGCTCGCCCTGGTAGTCTAGGTGGTATCCTCGAAAACCTTCTGCACTAGGTGGTAAGGGTCGGGGGTTTGAATCCTGGCGTAAGCGAGATCTTTGCAAAGTGGGTTTTTCTCTCGCTTCCGTTCGTAGCCTGTGGTTGGGTGGAACGCTACATGTACATACAAATACTATATGCATAGTTCGCGTACTGTATACAACACAGAGGGAAGAGAGTGCCGCACTCTTCTCGCATTAAAAATCGAGGGCAAACTACCGCAGGAGGGGTGGGTAGGGGGAAACTCTTCTGTGGTACCACGGGTTGGCGTAAACGGTACTACAGCAGTAGTGCTGTGAGGGCTGACCTGAAAGGAAGACAAAAAACAACAACAAATGCTGCTGCTGCTGTATTTGTACAAGATTTGAACTGCCGAAGGTGTGCTGCACATATATGTAGCCTGGCGCTTCCGCGGTCCAGACAACATCCGTTGAGATCTGGCTTCATGGAAAGTTACCTCTCAACACCGCCATGTGCTGCCTGTTAGTTTGGCTGGTACTCCAGGCCGCAAGAGAGGAGACTGGAGCTGCAAATAATAACATTGGAGAGACAGGCTTTTGGCGGGGACGGATCTCGGCGGATCTCCGGATCGACAGCAAAACATCTTACCGAGAGCCGAAATCAAGGGCAGAGCTCCAGCAGCTACTTCGACAACAATAGACAACCTCCAGCTGCCAAAAGAACAGCACTGCCTCAGCAGACTCACTTGGCTTGAGAGTGGGCCACTGCTCGCTCGGCACCCTGTTGTCGATCCATTCAACCCCGCTCTGTGCCAGCGCTAGTCTCAGTGGTTCACCCAGGGCGGCCTGCGAGACAAACGGACAGGCAACAGATTTTTAGAAAGGGCGTTGGATACTGTAGACTTTATCACTTGCAAACGTGCGTGAAACTTTTGTTGCCAGCTCAGTAGCGCCGGCCCGCTCGTACGAAATACACACCTACTTCCACGAGGCTCACAGCCTTGAACCATCTCTCGACGATTGAGCGCACGTTATTCGCTTCCTGTGGCGTGCGAGCTCTGAGCTCTGTGGTGCAGAAGGCTACAGCAGCAGTGTTGCAGCAAAAAGTTCCAAAATTCTGACACCTACGTATGTGTGTGTAGACTAAAACTCGTTTAGCCTCTCGATTTGTGAGCATGTTTGTGGGGTGAGCGGGTCGGCAGTGCTGTAGCGTGACGACCGCCAAGGGAGGGGTACGAGGGAAGTTGTCGGAGCTGGACGAGCAGTCTGATGACGCGTGAGGCCTTCAAAGCAGAATCACACGCACAACCTATGATGGAAGATGGACGGACACACACAATGCGCGCTCAGTTCACCGCCGGAATTTTGTATCGCTCGAGTATCATAGGCTAACCCAACCGTTAGACTAGATACACTCACAAATTCGAAGTATGTCAGCTTCATCGGTGCCATGATGACGTCAGTGTTGAGGTGTTGGCTTGCTGGAGCTGGTTTGCTTGGTTGGTTTGTGTTGTGATGTGTGTGCGTGTGGAGGAGGACCTGTGCGCGTGTCACAAAGCGGGAGATAGGTGTATTTATTTTCCCTTAATTCAGCGGGAGACGTTCGAGCCCAATTCCGAGGTTCCGCCGCTATTTAACGGAACAGTAAAAATATATATACCTGACCACCGGCGGCGGTGGGCCGGCGGCAGTGGGACGAATTCGGCGGGGTAGATCCAGTGGTTAGACCTCAGAAGTAGTTCAGCCTTATTCACCCCACCAGCTGTCTCGCCCTACGCCACTCGAATCGATACGGGGGGCTTGAGAACGAGTACTCGTACGTGTTGCTGCCATTGTTTGTGGGGCTATACAATCGTCGGATCGGGTTCTCTTCAGGCCGTTGGCTATCGTCGGACCCACATTTTGAACCAAAGCGGGCCGTGGGATTTTTAATTAATGAAGCATCCACCCCCACAAGCTGCTGGCGTAGATGACCTTAACTGAAAGTTCAACCGTACCTTCACAGTGATTTCCTACGTCTGTTGTAGTGTTCGGTCCCGTTGGTTGTTGAAGGAGCTCGTCTGTCTGTAAATATTGAGAAGGCAGAGTTCGGTATGTATCCCATTGAATGTACACAGCAGGATCCCTAATGATGGTAAATTCTGTTGGCAGCGTAGCACTAATACCACCGCGCGGTGACGTTCTAAACCATGTGTGTGTACGGGTGTACGTCGTCCCCAGAAATGGCGAAGCTCTATAATTCCACGACGCCATCCACGCGCAACAATACATCACCTGGATGATGATCCGCCACTAAAAAAAAAGAACAAGAATATCCAGTGTTGTTGTTGTCTGTTGTTTCTCTCACATTATTAGCTCCATAGTCCACAAAAATGGGGAGCCCGTGGTCGCAAAACCCGGCACATACGACACCGCGGGGAAACAAAACAAGACTAGTACAAAGGACATACAGGAGTATAGCATACAGCAGGGAGGGGGACAGGGCGCAACAACATCAGCCGGGTACATAGTTCGCCACAAGCGCTGCCTCGGCCGCCCTACTCGTTTCTACAGCAGCAGCGCCCGGTCGCCTTTTCTTCCCCCCCACCGCCGCTTCCCCGACTCTCTTTCTCTTCGGTCCCGAGATGGCCGTACTCCCTGCTTCTGCTTCCCTCGCGCGCTGGCGCTTCGCGGACGCTTCCGCCTCCTGTCTGTGCCATTTCCTCATGAACCATGCGGCCCCGTCCTCGACCTTGTTGTACCACGCCTCCGGGTCCTTGGCGCTCTCTTTCCATTTCCCCCCTTCCTTTTCGTCTCCCATATTGAACGCCACGAGGTCCTCTCCTAGACGAGACACCCAGTCGCTCTCCTGCCCGCTCCGGTATTTCACGCCCCCCGCCATCGCTCCTACCAGCATGCGCTTGGGGAGGCGGTTGTCCTCCATGCGCATAACAAAGCCCGCGAAACACAGTCTCTTTTTGCGCACGGTGGCCTCGATGGTTTCCTCGCAGCCGGCCTTGATGAGGGCCTGGGCAGAGGACAGGGGGCGGTCTAAGCGTTTCCGCTTGCTCCAGCCGATGCACCGTGTCAGGAACTGGCGGTGGGTCCCATTGAGCTTCGTGTGGTGCTCCGCTGTTAGGCCCCGCGAGGCGCACCCGTATAGGAGAGTCTCCACCACTTCAGCCTGGAGTAGCCGGATCTTGAGCTGGCGGTCGGCCCGTCGTCTATCGTACATCAAAGCACTGTTCCAGCGGTAGCACTTCCACGCTCGGCAGCTGCGGCTCGTGATCTCCCGGTCGGCCTTCCCGTCCGCGCAGATAGTACGTCCGAGGTACACAAACCGATCTGTCTGCTTGTACGTCCGGCCGGCGGCGCTGACCGTGAACCGGCATTCCTCGATCCCTTTCGGCAGCATGCACATGATCTCCGTCTTTGGCTCCGATACGACCAGTCCGAACAGGCCGCCCACGCGCACGATGACCGACATCATCTTCTCGAGACTCTCCGGCGAGCGCGAGATGATGACCGCGTCGTCAGCGTAGAGAATGGCCCACAGGGCCTCCACGTCCGTCACCACCGTCGTCTTCTTCCCCGCCGACCTGCCCTTCTGGCCCGAGTACTCCACGTGTGTCCCGATCTTGACCATGTCCGCCGTTACCTTGGGGTCCTTATCGAACTCGGTCACGGCGACCATGAGCATCGCGGCAAAGAACGACAAGTTGAACAGCAGCGGGGCCAGGTTGCATCCCTGTCGAAGGCCTTGGCCCACGTCGAACCATTCCGAGCACTGCCCGTCGTCCGTTCGGACGCGCGCCCTCATGCCCGCGTGGAAGTGGCGAATGACCGCCAGCATCTTCGGGGGCACGCCGAAGCGTCGGAGCACGTCCCACAGTAGGTCTCGGTCCACCGAATCGTAGGTCGACGAAGCACGCGAAGACCGCAGTACTCTTCTTCCTCGCGAGCTCATGGAGCCGCTGGATCGCGAACAGCATGTCGAGCGTCGACCAGTGTGGGCGGAAACCGCTCTGCTCCTCCGGGAGGATGCCCTCTCGCTCGCAGTAGTGGCTCAGTCGTGTAGCGACGACCTAAAGCAGCACCTTGCCGGCGTGTGCGACGAGAGAGATGCCCCGGTAGTTGCCGCACTCCATCGTATCCCCCTTCTTGAACAGCACTTTGATGGTGGCGTCCTTCCACTGCTGTGGTACGTCCCCCGCCTGCCACACGTCCACGACGATGGCGTGGAATTCGCGGAGGAGGCCTTGATCTCCTTCGAGGAAAAGCTTGATCAGCTCAGCCGGTAGGTCGTCCGGCCCGACGGCCTTTCTGTTGGCCATTTCCCGTACCGCTTCCTCAACCTCGAATAGAGGTGGTATGTCGTCGAGTGGCACGCACGTGGGCCACCGCTTGACCTTGTCAGCCGCATGCAGGTCGATGGTCGGCGACTTGGTGTTGAGAAGCTTTTGCAACCACCGCGCCCACCGCTGGCGAATAAACGTGGGGTCCCGGAGGACCTTGCCGTCCTCGTCCTTGATGTTCTGAGAGGTGAACGACCTCTTACCTTTGATGTCGATCATCTTCAGGTGCCTGTAGAAACCCGCCTGATCCCCCTCGCGGCTCTCCTTCTCGAGCTGCCGGCCGTACATAGCCCTCGAAGAACGTTTCCATTGCTCTCCACCTCGCGATGCTGCGCTTCTTCCGCGCCGCCTTGAGCATCACCTTCAGGGTCGCCTCGAAGGCGCTGTTCATTGAGGCCCCACGCAGTTGCTGCTGGGCCGCCCTAATCTCTTTCGACGCTTCGGAGATCTCGTGCTGCGTTTCGCTCGTGTACCAGCCTCGCTGCCCTCGTGCGCACCTAGCCAGCGGCGCGGTCTCGGCAGCGGCCGACATTACCATATAGTTTTTGAGCGTTCCGTTGAACTGTTGTACAGCGTTGTATGAGCTTTGTATGAGCTTTGTATGAGCTTTGTATGCAAATGCACGTACGTTCGTAGTAGTATGAGCGCTACATCAATACATGAGAACGTTTGACTCTCTCAAGTATCTGCTATCGGTTATCACATTACTTGAACGGGGATATATATTCAGCCCCGTCCTCGCACTCTCAAGATCACAGGTGAGGGACCTGGTCGTCAGTCTACAAGAGATACAAAGTCTAAAAGCTGTGAGTGCCCAAGAGTGCCCCGAAGAAAAAGGAGAGCTCGGCGGACCTTCGTTCTCGTCGAAGACAATGTGTGTCCTCTACTCACTCCCTACAACACAGCCCGCTATACCGGGGGACCAAGATTTTTTTAACCCACCCGACTTGACCGGACGGGCATGCCCAATGTGCCAAACGGCACGTCACGTGCGCCATTTCATCAAGCTAACTAGATAGACTACATTAGTATAGCATTTTGCATGCATACCTCTACACAACAAGTACGACCTCACAGCATGCACGCTCCAAAAACTGGTACAGTAGAACGCTTTCAGGTCCAAGCTCGGCGGCGCCCCCCCCCACACCCCCACAAAATTCAGCAAAGCGCGCTCTGCTTATTTGGGTCGCGATTGATTCTCAAACACACGTTGTTAGCACTCTGGGCCCTCCCCAGCGTTGCCTCGTATCGCCACGCACATCTTAAAACAAACGTACACGTACGTGCGGAGTGTCCCAACGTACCAACATGCGCACGCGCGCTCTTTTTCCTGTCCCCATAAATACGGTGCCAAACATGTATCCGCCAAAGTTGTAGAATAGGAACTCTTTGACGCGCGTACGGCCTCCGTTCACTGAACGCCAATCAATGAAGGGCCAACCCTCCGAAGATATAGTCTAATCAATTTCCTTGAAACCCAGGCAGGCAGTACATATTCGGTGAACGAAAACACATTTAGTCGGCCCTTCCTCGCCCCTCCTTCCTCTCGCTGCTGCTGTGGTTGACACTTTCAAGTGTCGCGGGGTTGCGGTGTGCTGACTTCGCTGGCTGGCGGTATCTCTCGTCAGGAGACGCTGACCGTCATTGTGTTGCTCCCCCCAACCACCTCGTGGCACGAAGCGGAGCTGAGTCCGGCCGGATATGAGTCGTCCTCCACGATGCTGGGCTCGAGCTCACTCGCCGAGCACTTGCTTGCGCCATCGTCCGGACCAACTTGTTGGAGTCTGTTTAGAGCATGGTGATGCAGAGGCCTGTGCTCAAAGCAGACTCTCCAGGATCACTGGACGTCGGTTTACTGTTGCTGGAGCACGTTCGATACATTTTTTTGTTGAGGTTGCTGCAAACGGCCGTAGCTGGTCATTGTGCGCGTCAATTTTATTCACCGCCTGTCCTGTGCAACGGAATTGGACGACACACGACACCCACTTTTTGGGGACATGACCTGAAGGGAATAGTACGGGGGTATACAGGGGTTGGTTCGTACACAACAACGGCTGTAGCGCTCATTCGTGGGCGGTGTTACAGGAGGTTGGGTGTTTGGTGCCGTACCTGGATGGAAGGGTGGTGCTTTATTTCTGGCGTAGAGCGCTTCTCTTTTCTTTCTGGTGCGGGCGTGCAGAATGTTAGCGGTTGCCGATTCTCCGATCGATTGACCAGAGGGGATGAGGTTGCGTTCTTTCTGGATTCTCGGCAGTTGCAGCCCGAGCAATTGCCTTGGCCTACAAAGTTGACCTGGGGTTGGTTTCAATCATCGAAGGCGGGTCGTTTTCGGGAGGGCACGTGCACACGGAAGCGTGTGCGACAAGAGCCTGGTCGTGCTGTCGAGTGCCAGAAGCAAAGCAGATGGCGTGATAATATAATCTTGTCTTATTCTCGTTATCTTCCTTACCTCGCCACGATGATAGTCGCCTTTGGAGCCGGTGGTGGCAAGTGGATGTGTACCGAGCACCAAGCAAGCGGCGACAGCTTTGCGGCAAGTTCTCTCGTTGGCGGGTGCACTCTGCATTACCTTCGAATCGGGCACGCCGGATAATTCGCAGCGGGTTGGTCGTCGCCGTAGGCTGAGCGGAAGGAGGAACTTGGGTCGGTGTTATGTCCGAAACCATGACCGAAACGCCGCGTTGGATGTCGAGTATTCTGTGGCGTCCGACTGCAGTTTAATGAGGCATGGCCTGGGTTAGGGCGCCAAATGGGGGTATGAGTTCAAGGCCGCCGAATGAAGCAGGGGGTTGCCAGAGGTGGTTCCAAAGACCGTTTTGAGATGACGTCCGTTTGGTTGATGGGGAATTGGGACCAATATGCGGGAGGAGAGGGGGGCGCACTCTTGTGTGTTGCATGCCTTAGCGTTTGGACCATTGAACACGCGCCCGAGAGGACGGAGCATTGTTCCCACAGGACCGATCACCGACGGCCAATCGTTTCTTCCTACTTTACCGAAGGTGGCTCAAAGATGTCTTCCCTAGTCTATCTACCTTATGGATATGGCTTCGCGCCTTTTCAACCCATTCCCTATACCCCAGTACAGCCTGGCTATTCCATCCCTCAAACATCTCTCTGTACCTTCCTTCTACTTTGCCCAGCTCAGCCATGTACTATTTCCTCTCCTTCTTGTACAACAGACATTCCGCAGCTACATGAACACGGTCTTCGCACTCGGATCCGCAATCACATTTATTTGAACTTGTCTTCTTCATCGTCTTCCTTCCAAAATTTTCGTCAACTTTCTCGAAGGCCAATGTCCCCGGTCATAATTTGATCCAGCTTTGCCCCTGCATCCTGTGATCCATGTAGGTAGGTACTCCTTGAGCCCTTTTCCTTCTTTCAACATTCCGTACACATCTAGACAATCTTTATCCTTAGTTTCTTTGTTTAGATTATGTTCTCTCTCAGCAAAAGAAACAGATATCTTCTCCTTGAACCCCTCTAGACCTTCCGTTTCCAGTGTATCACCTTCGTCAATTTCGAACTCTTTCCGTACGTCATCTACAACCTTGACCCACTCCGTGGGTTGTCTACCGTTCTTCTTGTTTGCCCACTTCGCCTCCCAAGCTATTCTTGGCAACCTCTCCTCTCCCATACCGCATGCCTTTTTTTGCTTCCTTGAGTGTCTCTTCTCGATCGTAGGGATTGGATCCTCAGTTCTGCCCCGACGGCTGCATTACTAGTGCGTTGGGAGCATCCTAGGATGATTTTCGCTGCTTTCATCTACGCCGCCTCGAGCTCATTGATTTCCTCTCCAGCGTACTCTAGCGACGGTACCATTGCTCTCTTCGAAACTGTCAATTGTGATGCGTGTATCGGCGGTTTACGAGTGTTGGGTGCAACTTCCCTGCTCGTGCTTCGCCCTTTTCCGCTACCTCGGGCAATGTTTTGTGCTTTCTATCAGCAATGCTTTCGATCGCTCCTACGCCCGTGTACGGGTCCACTAAATACTGCAAGCTCCTCGACCCCCCACTTCCATCTATACTCTACTGGTTTCTCCCTGTCCTCGATGGATGCCATAACGGGGAGGAGGAAGGGCCTGAAATGTCAGCATAGCAAACCAGCATAGCGCTGCCGGTATGCCTGTTTGGTCTGTCGACTGGTTTTCACTGACGTGGTGGCAGGGAGGAAGATGTGTGACCGGCCTCGCCCCCACCCCCCCCCCCACCCCCTGTCAAGTCTGGGGTGTGTGGCATCCATCAATCCAGAATTCTGAACGCAACAAAAGCAGAAATGGAAGGTCTACGTTTCGTGAGAAGCGGAAGAAGACAACCTTGTGCGTGTTTCAGACGTACTACATAATACCCGTCCGTCTGCTATGAGGGCGTCAGTTTGGCGTCCACGGAATGTGTTGATACTGCCGGTTCGAGGATTTTGTGGAGGGTTTGATCCTTGATGGACGTTCTGTGAACGGAGAGTCCATACTGTTAGCTGTGAAAAAGGTACGGTGAATGAAGGTAATCTCCAACCAAGAACGTTGGCGGATACACATATGAGCGTGATTGGTATCGTGGCGTCGCGATCTCTGAGTACACGGGAAAATTCATTGCGGAACAGGGGAATCAACACTAACAGTAGTGGGCGAAGACTCAATCTCGAATACATCCACCATGTGCAACACGCGATTGTATAGAGGAACAAAATTGTTGCAAACATATGTTGCACAGGGGGAACAACAGCCATTCGTGGGCCGGAAGAACACAACCTCTTCTCAAACCGCAATTGCTAAACATGTATCAAGGACGGATACATACCCGCGTGAGGAGCTAGTTCTTTCAGCTCGGGTGCACGGAATACCGGAAAACCGCGAACCCGAGTCCGAGAACCGTGAAGCGCCAGCACTCGCGGAATGGGCGTTCTATTTCCTCGTTCTTTCCATTGACCTTGTCAAACGGTACTACCGCCCACACTTTTTGTCGTTGTTGTTGTTTTTGTTGTTGTTGTTGTCTTCACATTAAAAACCGTTCCGGTCTCCGCTCAGTACCTTCCAATGTCCGTACTATAACAGTCCAAATGACGCGCACGCCTTCCGTGGTCACAAGCCACTTTGGAACGCTGTCGACCATCACGAACCCCCCGACATAAAACGCCGGTTGGGGAAAACTTCAATAGCACTTCAAGTTCAACGGCACCCCGACATGGCGGGGGTCGAATGCATGCACGTTCTGTGCAACTTCGCTACCAAGGAGCCACACGTCACTCTCGGGGCTCGAATGCTGATTGGCCGGCGGCGTTTCGGCCGTTGAGATTTTACCATCCTCGTATCAACTGAACGCCTTGTCATCACCGAGCCGCCGTTCCCGGGATTATTAGCTGGTTTCCATTATCGTTGCTCAACCCTGTCCTGACAAGGCTACAAACGTGATGTCGCGCGCGGCGCTTATTGCATAGTCCATTGTGTTTTGTCGCCGAAGACACAGCATCTGACGGAAGCAAGGAAGCACATCGACTCAATTGCCACATCGCCGTCGTAGTCTGCTCAAAGTTATTTGCTGGCGATGTTTCATAGTCGTCAACGAATACTCTGGCATCAGTTTGTCATCGAACTCAAGCTGGCGTCACACCCTGAAAGAATTTTGCCCATCATCCTGCCCGGGGACTCATGCGTCACGGGCACCTCGAATACGCCCAACGTCACAGAAGTACTACTGTACAGGTTGCTCACCCTATAAAAACCGATGTTTACCAGAAAACTATAAAACCGTTGTTTCAATAAAACTGCTGTTGTTGCTACAAACCGTTGACACTAGAAAACCGTTGATACCATAAAACCGTCGTTTCCATAAAACCGCTGTGTTTCTATAAAACCGTGCAGGCCGTCACCACGGAGCAGTCACCACAGATCGCCAATGATGTTTCAATAAAACAACAATCACAGAGAGCACACAAGGATGAATCTATAAAACTAGTCTCAGTCTGCAACCCGGTACGACAAGAAGAGCTCGGGCCTCTTCGGCACAGGTCGGGCCTCTTCGGCACAGGTCGGGCCTCTTCGGCACAGGTCGGGCCTCTTCGGCACAGGTCAGGTCTCTTCGGCACAGGTCGGGCCTCTTCGGCACACGTACCTGCCACTACGTCTCGAACGAGCCTTTTTCTTTTTTTTTTGTTCGTGGTCCCGCCGCGGCTAGAAATCTCGGCGAACGACCGAGAAAATCACCACCACGGCAAACGCTACGGACAAAATCTCCACCGTCAGGAGAACGACCAGAGCCTTGCCCAGCACGCCCGTGCACAGCCTCTCCCAGGCCGACGCGAGCACGCACACCTCGAAGGCCTTCTGCGTGGCGTAGCTGACGACGCCGACAACAACCAGGGTGTCCATGGCTCGCTGCCGCTTCGACCCCGGCGACGACCTCCTGGCTCTCTCCCCCGAGGCCAGCATCGCCACGACCCCGGTCAGAGAAAACGCGGACAAGGCTACGCGTAGGCCTTCATCGCCGCCGTCTTCGGCGAACGGCTCCCCCCAGACTGGCAAGAAGGTAGCCCAGGCGAGCAACGGCAGCAGGGAGACAACCGTGGAGGCGAGAGACAGGGCCGCGAACTCCCAGCTCATGTAGTCGGAGTCGGTAGCCACCGCCGCCACGTGGTGGACCGGGTCCTTCGTGAGCGCCCTGGCGGTGGTTCGGCGGTTCGAGTTTCGGCTCAGGAGGCAGATGCCGGCGAAGAGGAAGAGGAGCTCGCCGGCCACCTCGAAGCTAACGGAAGCCAAGAAGTACCATTCTGCGGCGCGGGGAGGATGGCGTTTGTACGTGGGGTGGGTTGGGAGTTTACAAGTCTCTCTACGGCAACCCGCGAAACAATACGAAGCAGCAACAGCAGCCGCAACAGCAGCAGCAACAGCAGCAGCAACCACAATCATAGACAACAACAACAACAACAACAACAACAACAATTGCAACAGCAGCGCTCTGTCGTACTATTCAGCAGCTTTGGTCGAACCTCCTCTACTTGACGAACGATGCCACCACTGTCTGGTGTGCGGCCTGGATGCGCGCTCTCTGTTGGACTCACCGATGTATTGAGAAAAAACCCTTTCTGTCAAAAACAACTATTATATAGTCAACGCTTGAGCCGCTTTTAGCGGACTCTCCTGCTCAACAGAAGCAACAGAGGCACCCCCTTGATTCTCCCAATCATTTCCATGTGCAGAGCATCTAATTGTGAGTCGGTTTCGTGCTGTCAAGCATTAGCCTTGGAAGGTGGTGAATCGTTTCAGGTTGGTTACGATGTGGTACCTTGTAGGCAACAAGAACAACCACTCCAAAGCATCCAATTGTGTGTCGATATCGTGCTGTCAAGCGTTTCCTTTTAAGGTGGTGAATCGGTGCAGGTTGGTAGCGACGAATATAGGCACGGAGACAACAACTCCAAAGCATCATACTGTGTGTCGTTGCCCCAAGGTCTTACCTTCGAAGGTGGTGAATCGGTTCAGGTTGGTAAGGACGTAGGCAACAGAGACAACTCCTGAGCTTTTCTTTGCCTCCAGAGCATGTGCCGTTCTATGGTGCTGTCAAGCCTTGCCTTCAAAAGGTGGTCAATTGGTGCGGGTTGGCAACGATCCGGCGACAGAGACAACCACACCAAACTGTGCGGTGATGTCAAGCCTTACCTTCGAAGGTGGTGAATCGGCGCAGGGTGGTAACGACGTAGGCGACTTCTACCACGGTTTCGACGAGCCCTGCCGCCCCGAACACTTGAACGGCAACCTCCATCTGCTGGGAAACAGAAACAAACCGCGGGAAAAACTGTGGAACATGAGGTCACAGGGTGCCGGGCTCATGAAACAAACCACTTTAGCTCACGGAAAGGCCTTTTTTTTTTTTTGACATTTTTGTCTTGAGGACAAATCGCGACCGGCTTCATGATGCCCCCTTCTTTCTACATGTTTTCAGGCGTGGAGCTTCTCATTGTCAGGCAGGACCAGGGGGGTGAAGGGCGGGCATTACTAGGGCACACCCGGTGCGAGCGCAAACGCTTGACCCCGCCTTCTGGCCCAACGACGTCCTGCAGTGCACAGGGAAGTGACCGTCTCACGAGAGAAAGAGGTCAGCAGTACTCGTAGTTCGTTCTCTAGACCCAACACAACATCATAATCGAAGTACCGTACATGACACAAGATAATACACCCGCCGGATCGATTTTTCAAAGCTGGACTGCTCCACGACGAAGAGGATGCATGAACGAAACGATACGTTTTCGGAGAGCTCTCGACCAGATGGCTTCAACGCCGCCGTTTTCGGCGTTGCCACTCTTCCTGCCGCTGAGAAATCGGACTTTGAAAATCGGTCCAGGGGGTGTGTTACCTTGTGTCGAATACGGTAGACCAGCCGTGCCAGTTTAAACTCATACGTTCGTGGTTCTGGTTGACCGGTTCCCTGTTCAGCCGGATGCCCTGAAAAGCGTTTCCAAAATCTCGTGGCACTGCTGCACCTCGGTAGCCAAACTACGATGTAACTGCCAATCCGGTTTACCGGCGATGCCCTCAATATCGTTTTGCAACATTTTGTGACACTGTGGGCCACTGAACTGCGACGACGACTACGACTGCTGTAGTTCTTCGAGACCAGCAAGTTGCGCACGTATCAAAAACAGAACAGAAGGAAAGAACCTGCAGCTGTGACAAAAGCTGCTACAAAAGAAAACGAGGCTCTCCTACTTTGACGAAGAATAAAGAGCAAAGAGCACCCTACACTACACTCTATTCATTCACTCATTCGCCTGCGCTCGACGGTGGCGCCGAAACAAGCAACAAACCAAAACGTCGACCCGACTTCTAATGTTTCCTAACTTACGCGCTCGATATGTTCACGACGCTAGGACTGCGTATCGTTACATGTCTATATATCCACATCCAGAAGGTCGAATCTAAATTAGTGTGCAGTGTGGTAGGGTATCTGTATCTGTGTTGTTATTGTATCTGCTTACAAGTTTCCAGTTTGAAGACGTAGTACTGACAATAATGTCTCCACAGATTTGAGCGCAGGGGATGGGGACGGGGATGGTTTCTTCCCCGCCGGCGTTCTCGAGCTGGGACCATCTCTTCTGCCGTACATTTTTTGCTCGCGCTTCCCAGGTTGTTCAGACGAGGCTCATGGTAGCGCTTGCTCGCGTGGCAGAGGGTGATAGGGTAAGGCTACATGGTAGCCTACCGTACGTCGCTCGATGCTCATGGGCGGCAGAACTCCGTGTCCACCACCACCAACTATCATACCGTATGGATGCGAGAGGTGGCACCCAAGGATGCGAGAGATGGCACCGGGTGCGATCAAATGTTGATCTCTTGCCGTCTTTTCCCCACCCCCGTGCCGTCTGTCCGACCCCGGTGCAAAAAACAATTGAATCGTTCCACCTATAATAAGTAGCCTTTTCCAAGGCACCCCCCGGTGCCATCTCTCCGAACCGTGCCACTTTTCGCATCCTTACTGAAACTCTCCTTGCAGACAAGAGTGTGGCATGGAACGACCTGGGCGTGCCCGTACTGCACTTCCAGAGCACCAACAACCTGGGCCTACCGTAAATGATACAAGATAACACACCCCCTGGACCAATTTTCAAAGCTCGATTACTCCACGACGAAGAGGATGCATAAACGAAACGATGCAGTTTCGGGAAGCTCTCGACGAGACGGCTTCAACGCCGCCGTTTTCGGTGCTGCGACTCTTTCTGCTGTTGAGAAATCGAGATTTGAAAATCGGTCCAGGGGGCGTGTTGTCTTGTGTCATGTACGGCATGCTTCCATGAACCCCATTACATTGTTGAAAAAAATTGCCCCAAGACGATTCACGTTACTAACAGCAGTGGTTGGCTAGGAGGAGGATTGGTAGTTCAAAATCGACAATTGTTGGAGAACTATGGTTCTGTGTACGACCCTCTTCGTCAAGAAGACTGCAACACTCCGAGACTTTCTGGTACCCACTCCTGCTCTTCAAACTATAACGTCATGGTCATGGTTGAGGTCAAAAGGCGGATGTGGTGTAGATTAGAGTGTCGTGGTCCAATGAGGGGTTAAATTTTTTAAATTCCGTCTTGGTTTTCAGCAGCGACAGCAGTAGTTTAGTGCGGTTTAGATTTGAACGAGGCTACAGACCTTAGTGTCCCGTAACCTATGTAGACTACAGTGCCGAGAGAGGTGGGGACATGGCACGATGACACCCCCCCCGTAGAGACGGACTTTCAAAACTCGATTGCTCCACAAACAACCAAGTGGGTGCGGAGAGATCCCAACAGGTCTACGGAAAGCCGTTTACGAGATGGGTCCAAGATCACCATTTTGTGGTGTTGGCACAAGCTTGTGGTTGTGGACCAATAGTTTAGAGCTTTGAAAAGGATTGTCTAGGGGGGGATTCGGGTAGACCGATCAATGTCTTCCCAAGAACGAAACATTTGGTACATAGGAGTATGATAGACTGCTGTAAAGTGCATTTTAGTGATATACTGCAACTCCCACCAGTGTCCAATCCAGAACACACCCAGTCATGGCTTTGATACGATGTGCATCCCGTCGAACATACTGAAGTACAAATGGAAGAGCTCTCCCTGTAAAACACAGCGTTTGGTACTTGTGTTCATCACAAAACACCTGGGGGACAGACAGCGGTAGGCTTTCCAAACCGAAAATCGAATCAACTCCCTTCCTCCTTCTGTGAAGAGACGTGTCCGACCCCGCAGGCGACTCGTTGCCTTCTTACCTTGTGCGTAGCGCGTGCTCCGAACAACCCCCTGGCCCTCTCTCTGTCCTTGGGCAGAACGATTTCCGCCGTCCACCCCTCTCCGGTTTGGAACAATTCCGATGTTTATTCTTGTGGCGGCCTGTGTGTCTTCTTGAAACTTCCTGTGTGTACAATGCCAAGAGAAGATGGACGCGCTAGCCACGCACGCTAGCCTGAAGGTGCTCCGACGTTGGCCTCTACCAGATGTGTCCTCCCTGCAGAAGCACCTGGCTAACGCGTCTCACGATGTGTCCTAGCCGAAAGTGCTGATCAGATGTGCGGGCCCGGTGTTCCCGGGGTGTAGTTGTGGAGTTGCTTGTACCCCTCACAATTCTAAAGCTGCGGTGTGTGCTTGCAGCTCCCGGGAACACCCCGCACACCGTCGGAGCAGCGTAGTAGGAGCGTGCTAGAGCAACGTATGGGTACTGAATTATGAGGCCTTGTGGACCGTGTGCATCCCGTGCCTGACTTGTTGCTGTCAACCGCGCGTGCGTGCGTCTGCGGTGGTTTTTATTTGTTGTGCGCAGCGGCGTACCGCGGGTCTGGTGTCCTCGGTTCTCTCTCGGCAGTCCGCAGTCCGCAGCAGGTCGTTTGAGTGGAGTAGATCTTCACCCTTGTGATGTGATCAGGGTAGTCTTTCAAGTAAAACCATTGGCCGATTCCGCCATAAAATTGCCCCGAGCCGCGAAGGGAAACCCCGTGAGTTTTACAGGAAGCGCCAGAAGAGGGGGGAGCCTGCCTGTTGGTGTGTGTGTTTTTATTCCTTAATGCATCTCTCTCGCGCCCTCGCATGCCACATTTCCGCGTTCGACGATTCGCGAACGATGATTGGCTAATGAGTACAGTCCTGGTTCTCGGAATACATGCCTCACGCCTCCCAATCGGGTCCAAGGCCGGCCGCCACCCACACTTGCTCTCGTCATGGGCACGCGGCACACGAGACGGGGCTAGTGAGCGCACCACGTGGAGCTCAGGTAGGCCCGATGTGTCGGCTGCTTTGTTTCCGTTGGAATGCTGGTTTGCAACACAGAGAGAAATTGTACTGAGAGAGAGACAGAAGACAGAAGAGAGAGAGAGAGAGAGAGAAATTGGAGAGAGAGAGAGAGAGAGAGAGAGAGAGAGAGCCGAGAGACAGCGGCGCCCTTGGTTACTTGCTCGTGCCTCGCGCTAGGTAGGCGCCATCGATGTAACATGTACGCTCGTACCACATAGTGTCGTCCGACTATGATGGATCCACATGACTCAATATGCTCGTGTTCCTCGTACTGCTGAAAGTACCATGCACTACTACTGCTGTACTGCATTGCATACAGCATCTACTGCTACAGCAGTCATGTACACAGCAGTACACAGCAGTAGTCTTCAACTTTGCAACCGAACTCATACCCAACACCGCGACGAAAACGGCCAACGGTACGTGTAGCAGGCGACAACTCTGAACGGTAACGTGTCCTCCAATGGGACGGATTGATTCCATCGTGCGAGGCTCCTACATAATATGCTGCATCATATGCATCACACCCTGGATAATAGAACCGGTCGCCCCGGTGGTCTAGTTGGTATCCGCGAAACCTTCTATCTAGAGGTCAGGTGAGGGGTTCGAATCCCGGCGTAAGCGAGCTTTTCTTGCAAAGTGAGTTTTTCTCTCGCTTCCGCTCCTGGTCTAGTGGATAGCGCTAGTTCGTGTGTACACAGAGGGAAGAGAGTGCTGAACTCTTCTCGCATTAAAAATCGAAGGCAAAGTACCGCAGGAGGGGAGGGTAGAGAGAAGCTCTTCTGTGTGACCACGGGTTGGAGTAAACGGCACTAGTGCTGTGAGCGCTGATTTGAAGTGAAGATTATTTAAAAAAAAAAAAAACAGTATTGATATCGGCAGGATACCAATAGGATTCTATTGTAATAGGATGCCTGCTGCTGCCTCTAACACGCATCAATAGATAGTCTTCGGGCTTATTGTCGCTAGAAATAAGTTTTGAGTTGTTTGTCACGCCGGATATCGTTTGGCCAGGCGTCTACAGACATGTTTGCTAGGGTGGTGTTGCTTACATCAATACCTATCGATATTATTTGACAAACGGTGTTGTACCGGTGAAAGGTATTATATTGAATCCGTCGAAGTTATCCACGGTACACAACAGGCATCAATAGGGATTTACAGAACATATTGCTCAGACGGTACGTGCCGAAATAGTTTGGCAGGAGATATCATATTTACAAAGGTGTTGGGACTGTTAGGCAGGACTGTTGCGTTTCTAAATAGGTATCGACGTATCGACATTTATTTCCAGCTGTCAACAATGTTCTCGGAAAACAGGCATCGGTAGATTCCAAGTTCTAAAGTAGCGAGATAATTTACGAACTGAGTTGGACAGCAAGAACCCCGCCCTGGATTTGACGCTTGCCACAGCAGCCACCTGCTGAGATTTTACTGGGATGGGCAGCGGGAGGTAATGCGCGCCTTCTCTCGTCGAGTATTGTCTACTCTGTAGTTGTTAATTACATGCAGCAATTGGTTTCAGAGCTGAGCACCAGACAGACAGAGTGGAAAAGTGCCGTTTGTTGTGTGCCAGCCGTCGAAGACCTCCTTTAGCCCTGGATAATACCCTATTGGATAGGCTATTAGCTATTAGCCCAGCAGTATGGCCCAAAAATCGAAACACGATACCTGTTGCGGCTGCCTTGTACGTTGGGTCGCAGCATATCGATAGGGTGTGAAGGAAACAACAGGTTTGTGTACCATCGAATCAATAGAACACCGAACCGATAGGAAGAGTGCACAAATCGTTTCGAGACTTACGTTTCCGACAGCATGTTTTGTTTCGCCTTATCGATATGAATTTCCTTCGAGAGGCGTTGTCACACCTTTCGCTCTGACAGGTTTCAAATACATCAACATGATGACGGCAAGCGGTCGGTACCTAGCGGGGGACACAATAGGTTGAATACGTAATCGATCATGTGTTGGAGGAACAGTATGCTTAGCACACCATCGATCAGTACCAACTCTGGAGTGTACGAGGGATCGTCCATCGCTTTTTTTTTTGTTTTTATGGAATCTGCCAGGGTTGGTGGGAACAGCAGTTTGTGTGTTGAAAGTTATACTTTCATGTTGCAGCAAGATATGAGTACGACCTCGAGATGAACCTGGGGAGTGTCTGGTGTGCTTCGCCTACTGCTGTAAGTCTGGCTCTTGAGGTCGCGCTGAGTGATCCGAAGACCCGTCCAAAAAGCTACCGAACACAAATATTTGAAGCAACTGCTGTGTGTCGATTGATTCAAACGCCGTACGACTGAGCGGTACGGTGGCCATGGAGTTCCACTTGTGATGTTGCAGGGTGCCGCACACACGCCAAACCCTTGATTGATGAACGCAATGCATGGCCGCTACAGTAGGTACCGACGGGTTCAGCCCCTCAAGTTAACCGTTGCAACAGGTATCGATAAGCTAACCCCCTGCATGTTGACCGTTGCAACAGGTATCGATAAGTTTACCCCCTGCATGTTGACCGTTGCAATAGGTACGGGTAAGTCCTGCCCTGCATGTTGACCGTTGCAACAGGTATCGATAAGTTTACCCCCTGCATGTCGACCGTTGCAATAGGTACGGGTAAGTCCTGCCCTGCATATTGACGGTTGCAACAGGTATCGATAAGTCCCCCTCCTCCATATTGGCGGTTGCAACAGGTATCGATGAGTTTACCCCCTGCATGTTGACCGTTGCAACAGGTATCGATAAGTCCCCCTCCTCCATATTGACGGTTGTAAATGCATTCATATTTTTTTCATCGGCCTATTGAAACATCGAAATATCCAGAAGGTGTTGGTGCACTCCTTGAAACTCTATCGCAAAGTTCACTGACTTGCGATATGATGTCGTAGCACCTATTGAAATATCCAACATGTTAAGCCGAGACACGACAGCACCTGTTGAATCGACCATATTAATATCGGCAGGGACTGCAACTACCTGTTGAAATGTCTAATAGGTGTCGATACGCTGCCGTCAGACCTATTGTTTGGACCAATAGCCTGTCCAATAGGGTATTATCGAGGGTGTGATATGCATGTATGCATATCATAGGCAGAACAACCTTTCACCTTTCTGTGTGACCACGGGTTGGGGGAGGGGCTACCGACTTGGTCGAATGGTTGGCGGGAATTTTCCTGTGCAAACTTCCTGGATACAGCCCGAGGAACCACTGATGGGTGCGTGGGGATGGAGGAGGAGAGAGGAGAGATACAATGTAGACTATACCCCGATGGATAAAAACGCTTCCTTACGAAACTGCTTGTATCAGTTCATGGTTCGTAGGCTAGGTTCCTGAACAGGGAAGCCTAAGGGGGTACAGGTGAAACGCGTTGCTCTACGTGACTATACGCCTAAGTCGCGGCGCAAGAGGGGGTAACGGCTAGGTTGCTGTGCACGGTTAGCTCTAGGATGTTGTAGGGTGAAAAGCTAGGTTGCTGTGGCACCACCTCCGAGAAATGGTATTCCGACCGTCAACCATTGCGTTCGAACAAGTAAGCATATAAGCACTACTAGGTTGGAGTGTTGGAGTAACGGCACGAATCTGTGAGCGCTGATTTGAAGTGAAGACAAAAACAATATCGTCTATTGTATTCGTCCATGTGTAGATACCTGCAGACGGCTGCGCGAAACAAGCCTCAGAGCCTCCGTGTGTATTTAGTGCTTGGGGGACCCATTCTTAAGCGAGTACTCTCTCTCTCTCTCTCTCTCTCTCTCTCTCTCTCTCTTATCTCTGTATCAAGCAATTTTCCAGGACACTTCCACAAGCCACGGATTCGTTTTTACCCCGAATCCTCCAGTCTGCACTGCAGCAGTAGTTGCGGTCCACACGAAAAACCCGACTGTTTTTATCATATCGTGTGGGAGAGGAAACCTCCGCAATGGAGCCTACACTAAACCCTGGCGACCAATGCTCGACGAAGACGATTGTGGGGAAATTACAAATTGAGCGTCGACCCCCAAATTGGCGATTCTTGTTGGAAGGCAGCAACTGCTGTACATGAACAATTTCGCAGTAGGATTCCTGCAGCAAGGTGTTTGCCCCACCACGCGCGACACTCGGCTAGATTGTCGGCTGTGATGGTGTAATCCTTTTCGGTGTGGTTGTTTTATTTGTGACCACGAAAGGCGTGCGCGTCAGTTGGAGCAGTACGGATACTAGAAGGTACTGAGCGTAGACCGGAACGGTTTGAATGTGAAGGCAACAACAACAACAACAGCAACAACAACAGCAGCAGCAACAACAACAACAACAACAACAACAACAACAACAACAACAACAACAACAACAACAACAACATCATCAGCATCATCAACATTTTCGCGCTCTTTGCCGACAGGTGCTGGCAGCACGCGGCTCGCAGACGCACGCCTTGATGGAGATATTTTCGGAGCCGTATGGATTGGACAAGGCGAAACGGTATGAGATCGTCCGCACCGTCGGCAGAGGCGCCTTCGGCGAGGTGAGTTCCGCAGGAGGCAATCGTGGACCTTCGGCGACATCGATGCAGGCGTGGTCCCGGTTTAGCGGTTCCTTGTTGAGCGGGATGCCCTGAATGGCGGTTCTAATATCTCGTGGCAAAGCTGCACCTCGGTAGTCTACCTACTGTGTGACTGTCAATTCCGGATTAGCGGCGATGCCCTCAATAGCGGTTGGAACATGTTTTCGAAAAGTTGGACCGCTCAACATGGCTGTGGAAAACTGTAAACTACTGCTGTAGTTCCGGCACGGTCGGGAAATGACGGGGACAATCGTTCTGTAGCGGCAGCCAGCAGCAGTGCTCGTGTTCCCTGTGCATTGAGCAGCATTTTTGCCGAACTCCCTAGAATACGGGTCCGCAGTTAATCAGAAATACTTGATGCTTTCCATATCAATAGACTTTGGAAAATATGGTGAAGAACAAAGGTCAGCGGTGGATCCTAGACAAAACTCGACATATTTTTTTTGTTGCTTGGCGAAATAATAAACTGGGTCTCCCCTCGATTATGACGTTTGTTTTCCCCGGGCCCGTACTGTAGTGTGTACAATACTCGAGGCCGCGTGTGCGAGGGGGGGTGAGAGACGTGTCAGCGGTGTTCCCGGCCTTGAGGTTTCTCACTGCGTACCGGAGGTCGTCCAGCGCTGTCGTATTCACGGCTTTGCTGTTTGTCAGATGAGCGAGTGTGAGAGTCATCAACCAACAACAAAAAGAACGTCAACCAACAACAACAGCCACAGGGCGACAACAGCATCACCGCTACCATTGCGATTAGCATCGGCAGCAGCGGCAAAGCAGCGAAAACCGGCAGCAACCGCGTGTGGTCGAGTGTTCCGTCGTCGAGAATACCGTCTACCCTGTTCTACCCTAGGCTCCCCTCTCCTTTATAGGGTACGGATAGCGCCCGCGCTTGAGAACCTCAAGTTTTGCCGACGCTGGGGATCTTTGTTCCTCTTGCGGGCCACTAAACGGCCGCCGAAAAGATCATATAGGTCGTAGTGTGGTTCTCATCCAGGCTCACAAATGGCGCCCATATTCTTGCGTTTCGATATAATGTCTTAACTTACCTGCCAAGTTGTTTTGTGCAGGCGCTACCTCAAGTTCTTAGGCTTTTTAGAAAGTAAACATAACCTCACAGAAAGACTAGTACCCGTCGAGATATAACCTCAGTCGAAAGAGATGTGTTGAAGTATTTTCAGTAAGTGGATAGGTTTGCTGAAACTTTGACTGTCTTAGCTGCCAAGTTTTTGTGCGCTAGGCGTTATCTGTACATCTTCTATCCCTACTGTACTTTACCTTTTGTCTGCTGCGTCGTGGACATCTTTCCCCCCCGAAACCCGGACGAAACTGCCCTCGAATGCCTCGACAATCCGCAACGTAACGGATATTAACCCTAATCCTACCCCTATCCCTAACCCTAACCCTAACCCTAACCTAATCAGGTGTTTCTCGCGTGGGACACACAGACCAAGCAAATAGAAGCACCCCCCCTCCGTGCAGGGGGGCTCCGTGATGCAGGCAGGGGCGAGGAGGGGGGTGGGGGCTACGTGGCTCTCAAGACCGTAGCGTCGGGGGTTTCGTCGTCGTCGAACTCGTCCGGGGGGGGGGGGGGGCTGTCCAAAGGGCTTTTTCGGGAGCTGAAAACCTTGGAAAAGGGGACGGAAAGCCCCCATATTCGCCCCTTGGTTGACGTAAACCCCGAGGGGAAAAAAAAAGGGGGGGGGGGGGGGGGGG